AGCTGCATTTCAAGCTGACCACTGTTGGCGACGAAGTCTGGAGGCCAAGAGAGACACTGAGTGGGGATGGGCAATATCAGTAGCATATGGTTATGAGCCTTTGTGGACTACACTACCACCAGCTTCTAAGCCATGCCGAGAGATTCTGAGATGCAGTTGAAAGTCTGAGGGGAGATGCAGAGCAAGGTGTGACTGTGCCAGGTTGGATTAGTACGCCACTGTGATCACATTTCATTGTCACTAGCCAACCAAAACATAAACCATGCAGAACCATATTTCAATAAATACAAACAATTTTTTTTAAATATTCTGTAATTTACCATATGAGTATACAATATCAGTATAGTTAATTTGCATTAATGAAAGAAAGAAATGCATATACGTCTTCATATTTTTCACACTTTAGATTACCAGAATCAAACAAATAGTCTACTAAGATATAGTTTTTTTTATTTGATAGATGTAGTGTTGGGTAAATGTATGCCAAAATGTTCATATTTCATAATATATTTAGGTAGTGGTTCATGATAAAACGAGATATACTATAATATCACTCCTCTATGCACTTACTTAGCATTCACCTGATGAAGGAGCAAGAAGTAGCTCTGAAACGTCGTATAAAAAATAAATGAAGTTGCTGTCCATAAAAAGGTATCATGTATTCACGTTCCCCCAACTTCTAAATGCCTTTTAAAAACTTTAATCGGAATGAAAAGACCGGGAAATACCAAACTTAACCCTCCTGTCCATAATATGGACTTGTCTGACATTGCCGAGAACAGATTGTATTGAGGGAGTCTGACATTGCCGAGAACAGATTGTATTGAGGGAGTCTGACATTGCCGAGAACTGATTGTATTGAGGGAGTCACCATTATGTAAATACGAGAAAATATTTTTATATAAGGAAGTAGTAAGTTTTGCTACACTTATAAAAAAAGGTTGGTTTCTTGGTCATTGACAGCTGCTAAATACAATCATTAATCGCATTGTTGCATTGAACTTTATAGACGAAGCTGAATGATTTGGGTGAAATCTGACTCACTGCACGTTCTCAAGTTAGTCCAATTTCAATTCACGCTGACATCATGTAATATACACTACACAAGATTTCACTATTACGCATTTCCCTCTAATTTATACTTTATAATTATCAGTCGACCCCCAAGGCAACCGAAGGGACTGAGCGAAAGCTATTTATCCCGTTTGACATGAATCAAACAATGGTGTTTCAGCATCAGTTATTATCACTTATTAATCTTCTGATAATTTATTCATGTTCCAATAAAGAACATATCTTAAAATACAGATTCAGACGAATTGGCATCACAACGTAATATAACAAAGCTAGTCGCCACCTTTGAAGTTGTCTGTCGACGACGAACCAGGGTGCCATCTTATTTATGTTGTATTTTCACCGTAAGTAATGACAAGATTGCAAATACAAATCAACCTCTGACCAATAGCCATCCGCTGACTTTCACAACCAGAGAGTTTGTTTCCTTTCCAGTTCCACCTTTGACTGGTTGTGCTACCATATCCTTACAATGTTATAACTGCTTAGGCAGCGAGACTGCCTCTGGCAACCCTTTGTCATACGCCCAATCTTCTGATGGAATTAGAAAAGCAAGTTTCTTTTCGCTGATAGCCAAAACGCATCTTTATCTAATTAGTGACGTGCATTAATGGTTTAACGAGATTCCCCGTGTCCCTATTTCAATACAGGCCTATTACGCTTTCTACTTCTGACATGATTGTAGTTATCCGAGTTCAAATTAATTAAAATATAAACGACGAGTGGGAGTTGTTTATATTCAATAAAACACTGCAGGGAGAATAAACCATGAGGGGCGCAGCGTCGTCAAAATATAGGTATCATCCAGTTGCGGGGGAATGTTCGAATCTCCAGAAATGACATCATAATAGAACAATGTTTTACCATGAAATAAACCACCCTTCGTTCTTCATTGTTCTTTGCGTAGCTATCTTATACGCACAAGAACACGCTGTCAACTTTCAAATAATACACGAGCTGATTTGTCTGTGTGTCTATATACCGCCTTGATCTTTATAATAGTGTGAACATATTGATTCTCAGGTACATTATCTGTACAGCTCTTCATGGAACTAGGTAAACATGAATCAAGGACGGCAGGACAGACAACTGTCTCCGCGTTCTTTCCGTGAGTTTGTTTGTTGTTTAACGCCGCACTCAGCAATATTCCTATCTTATTTTCATAAATAAAGAACAAATATAACAAAAATATCTAGAAGGGAATGTTTTATCTAACTTATTAACCGAAGAAAGAAACTTAAAACAACAATTATCAACATTTTTGTTTCAAATATACTTTCCATGAACCTGAGGAAAAGGGCCTAAAATATCTGTTGCGAGCGTACGGTACTTGAAGAAGACGGTACTCGTAAAAGCATTACGATTTATCATCCCCTCTGCAGCCAAGTGGTGCACTTACTGTGCTACAGATACGAAGGTTGCATCTTCAATGCTCGGGAATATAAGGAAAACACTTGTCATTTGATTTAATATGTACTTACTTCACACTTCCTTTTTCCAAAGGGGGAGAGTGTTGTCAGGAATGTAGTACTATTTAACGTAAGTAGTTTTGAGGAAGTTACTATATTTAGATGCTAGTCTGATGTGTAAACTCCTGGAACAGCCTGGGCTGATTATTCTGTAATGTTCTAGTGCCAGTAGACTGGTGATGGCACTGCGTGGAAATTTCCAGTAGCTAGTTAGACTGTATGTGAGGGGAAAAGAGGCATACCTCTCGTATCTCTCACACATTTCATTACATCAAGACCAACTTTATTGTTATTGGGAATAGACACGTAACACGGTGTTTCGACTGTTCAAAGTCAACATCATTAAGCCGAGTATTGGTAAGATAAAGCTTTTGAGCCTCCCAAATTTAATTTAACCTAGACACTTCCACAGTGATTGCAGCTGTCTGCCTCGGTGACTTCAGTCTGTAGTTCATCTTGGACTAAGCTTACTTTGCCGTTCATTGGTGGTCTGGGAAAAATACCATTCATGTATGAGGTAAATTGGTGGCAAGCGTGTGCAGTTACAGATCGGTCAAGTTTCAAGCTAGCAGGCGGAATGTGTCAGTATAACAGTATAGTGTGTCCTGTCATTGGGGTCACTGATAATAGTAGGACACACTCACAGTCTGGCGGGCCTCAGGGGGCGTACTCGGACTTCTGAATTACCAGTTACAGCTTCCCTAGCCTGTAACTCTTTATTGATACAACAATACAAATTCGTACCAGCACATGTTTTCACTCAACGCCTTCTACGAAAAGGGGTGTTCTCAAAACTGAAAATCAGAGAGCATTGGGATTTTATAGACTGTTCTTGAACTGTGGTCACTGTGGTCACCAAGAAAATTCGCCCGATGAAGGAGTAAGCATATACTCCGAAACGTTGTGTTTCTATAATGAAGAAGCCGACATCCATAAATTCTCTCTGTGATGTGTATCACTTCTAAATGCCATGCAAAGACTTGTGGTCACCTTGAGCTCAAGACGTGTTAGTGCACCATGGTACAATGAAGATTGCAAAAAAGCTAGAAAAAACAGGGAAAAGGCTGAAAGAGTTTTAAATAAACATCCAACTCAAGACAACTTACAACAAATAGGGATATCAAGAGCAAAAGCTCGTAGAACCATAAACGTAGCAGCTGGAGACATTGTGTTTCCAAACTGACTACACGTACTTCACTCAATAAAGTATGGAATATGGTTCAAAGGATAAAAGGTGAAGGGTCCACCAGCAGTGTTCAACACTTAAAAGCTGAAACTGAGAAATTAACTTCCAAAAAGACATCGCTAATAAGCTGGCAGAGACAATTAGTAAAACTTCATCATCCTAAATTACAAAGGTATCAAAGTCAGCAGGAAAAGAAGATTCTTAATTTCAAATCCGATAATTCTGAAGATTACAATGAATCTCTTTCCTAAAGTGAACTGCAAGAGGCTCTTAACTAAGCTCATGATACAGCATCTGGGCCAGATAATATCCTTTATCAATTATTGATAACATCTACCTGAGTCATCTCTTTTAACCCTCTTTTTCATTTTCAATAATATTTGGGAATCTAGTAATTTTCCTTCTTCTTGGCATGATGCTACTATCATTTCTGTGCCCAAACAAGGGAAGGATCACGCGAATTCTTCTAATTACCTTCCAAAAGCTTTAACAAGTTGCACAAAAGACATTTCTCGCCGTGAATATCTGTAAAATTGCTGATGCGGGCGTTAAGCAATATTCACTCACTCACTATTCACTCACTTGAGCTTGAGTTCAATTTGGAGGTATGTAATTATTTAATCATTACTGTGTTCATGTTGACATGGCTATACTACAACAGATTAGCTGTGTCCACATTGAGCTTGTGATTATTGTGTATGCTACACTGATTATTTATCAGTAATATGGACCTATGACAATGTTTTCTAGGCATAGGTCATCATGGCTAATGCTTGTGTTCGCGTCGAGTTTGCACCCCTTTCCACTATGGTTGTACCTTACTTTGTGCTGGATATCGGCAAAGGAGAACCGTCACAAGGAAACACTATTTTGTAAGCGTCATTCAAAGGGTAGTCCAGTCACATTAACACCTCTCTGTCAACTTTCAAGGCCACATAACTACCAGGCAGATCATGTGGAAGGGTGGCACAGTAGATCGATCAAGATTGTGGGCTGCCCCCTTCCAAATATCTATGAACGGTTGATCATAATGAAGGGGGAGAAGGGGATGTTGATGAAATAAGAATAGTGCAGCTAAACGGTAATCATATTAGGAGTCCGTTTATATATACAAATATATACTCTTTATAAAGAGGTAGTAATTAGTTCTCACTTTGTTTCTTAATAGGACAATGTAGCTTGGTAGTTTTACAAAACATATGGTCGTTTTTTTTAGGAGTTCCTACAGAAACTCACCCAGCTGCGAAACCTCTAAACTGTTTCAACATAACACAATGTCTTCCTGGCGCCACTGACGGTGAATACTGGATCTACTCACCTACCTTGGGCAACAAGAAGGTTCGAATCTACTGTCATAACATGACTGGTATACCCAGCGAGTATGTGACCTTGGCTCACATTAACAAGGGCGTCTACCCAGGCGTCAAGAACAAGAAGTGTGTCGGTGTCGATGACGCGATGACAGGTGTCAAAGTTGGGGTCACAGAATTCTCGAAAGTCAAGGTCAACGTTGAGGTACATTGATCATGAATCATATATGCTCTTAATAAAAGTAGGGGATACTCGGAAATACTCCAAATTTGTAACATATATTAGTTTCTAGTAATAGTTGTATGATAATAATGAACGAAGTGGGAACACATTATATCTGGAAGTATGAAAGTAGATGTTAGGACTGCCAACGATATTAAAGGATAATAGGGGTAAGATTGGAAATGTCATAGTTGGCGTTTTTGGATCAGTAGTGCGTAATACCGCCACGATTTCTCAAACATTCATTCATACTGCGTATGAGTCTCCCAATGGCGATTTGAGGGAGTCCGTCCCTTACCTATTGCAGCGCCTGGTCGTTCAACCATTAACCAACGTGGTCGGCGGCCTGCGACATTGCCGCACACGTCTCCCCTCATGGCCCAGACGTGTTCCGCTGGGGTCAGCCCTTTTCTCATTCTATGGAGGTGAACATTGACCATTCCTGCACGGTGAGCATGGGCGTTGTCTTCCTGAAAGACAGAACGTCGACCCATACGCCTTGCAAACTGGACAACATAAGGTGTCAGTATGTTGTCCAGATAGTACAATCCAGTGATCTTCCTTGCAAAATTTGGAGTTGGGTTCGGCCAGTCATAGTGATGCCAAATCTGTCATGAGGCCTCAGATTAATATTGACTTGACGTTCATTACGACGTTGTCAGACACGTCAACGCCTCATGAAAATGCAAAGCGAATCGGGACTCATCAGAAAACATGACACGTGGCGAGGGACGACTGTCCTAGTTTCGTACACCATCTGTTGGCAATATTACGACTCCTAAGGGATGGCGCAGCACGTGGCCGGCGAGCAGAAGATGAACTGCATGCAGACGATTTGTAATCGTTTCACCCACACCTCGTGCTTCAGCAGCCTGATGAAAGTTTACAACAATTTAAATCGCCGTTTGAGCTCGATTTCGTAAAGCCTGGTTTTGGATCAATCGGTCCTGTATTCTTGTCTTTGACCTGGGACGCCCCGAACGGGGTTCACCGTTTTTGTTTTGTTGGTACATGTTGCATAGTCTGCTCGTCGGCCTCTACATGCTGACTTCTGCCAGTTTCAAGTATGCCATAGCCAGTAGATGTGCAGACGCCGCATTGCCAGTTCATACACAAACAATGAATGTAGACGTGTAACTGAAAGCTGGATGATAAGCAAAATCAAAAGGATCGATAGAAATAATGGTCCACAGAGATTACAAAAACAAGAATACGGATGCATTGGATGTTTGCAACTATCTTTGTTCTAATAGTTGGTATGAACATTTATGTTTCACGACACCCTACTTTTTTAAGAGTATATAAACTACATGAAAGACATGTTTTGTGTCTTTGTTTAACGCCATCCTGTAAATGATCAAGTCTCACCAGACAGTCCAGTGATCGATGACATGAGCAACGGTTCACACCGTTAGGTACCGCAGCCATCCAAAGTCACTCCGTGGAGAGTCAACCCAAATGGATTGGGTGGTCAGACTTGGTCACTTTTTTGATAGCGTGTCCTCGTACCCCTACGGCGTGGATCCTTGCGCACATTATCAATCACTGGATTGTCTTGGCCAGACTCGATTATTTTCAGGAGGCCGTCATATATATTACTCAAAGTTTGCTGTGGATCACAATTTTAAGGTAATGCGCCAAATTGTGTGCGTTTGTTGAAATAGACAAAACCCAGCGGAAGTCCTGCAACTCCAGAAGCCACAAAGTGATACGAAATACTGAAACACAATACTGCCACCAATCTTTGACAATGTACTTGTTGATAACGCCAATAATCAGTCAGATAACCCATCAAAATGAGAATATCTGACCAAAACTGAAACACGCGAAAACAAATTCATTGTCAAAAACAACTCTCTGTAACGCGTATGTGATCCACGTGATACAGCCTGTCACCCTTGTCTCATGCTCCCAATAAGTGTCTGGCTGGTTTCCAAGAGAGGGTTGTTCCACTTTCAGTAAGAGCATTTCCGAGTTCTTGTAGAGTTTCTGGATGGACAGGGCGTCGTGAGACGTGGTGACCGGCTGGCCATTCCATGCGGACAATGGTTTTCTGCCCTCAGGAGGCATCAACAAGCCTGTCTCATTGAGGTCGTGCATCATCGTCCATGATGTCTGATTTCACCAGCATACGGTCTCACGTACACATCCAGAATGTCATCCCTTCAACTTACACCTGTCGCCGTGCCCCGCTGTAGGACATGGAGATCGGTTCTTCCAGCTTTACTGATTCCACCCCTAATCAATCATGATTTAGCCCCCTCCATAGCAGTCATGTTCGGCTTCGTTCGAATCCTGAAATCTCCTTGTCTATGCCACGCTCGGACACGATTCATCAGTGAAAAGAACTGGAGCACAATCCTGGTCTGTCCATTTGACGTGATCTTCAGCCAAATCCCAACGTGCCTACCTGTGATCTCGTGTCAGTGGGATGCAAATGCATGCCCTCCGAAACTGGAGACAAGCCTCACGGGTACGATTATATACCGTCTGAGTAGAAACGTTAACGCCACTGACGTACCGCATGTCATTTCTGAGTATGGTGGCAGTCACAAATTGATGGCGTCTTGCTGCAGTCAGGGGAAACACGTCTTCCCTCTGTGTTGTGGCACCACAAACATGTTCCTGGGTAACCGATCTATACGTCTGGTTTTCATGCCATGCCCTGCAACTCACACTTGGGCTGACACCACAGGCACCTATTTCAAAGCATGCCTTTGCACCTGCCTAATTCTCCGGACGTCAAAGGACGTGTTTGACGCTGAGGTGGCATATGTGCAAACGGTTTTGGCAATCCTCAGTACCAAATTTTGTTGTGCTTTCTGATAATGATATGCAACAATTCTGTCACGATAATTCCAAAAGCAACTTTTCAAGCACCTCGTTCACATCGTGCCTCTGTCCCTTCATCATGAAATTTAGATTCTATTAGAGGTTACCCAATCATTATGTATTTTTATCTTTATTTGTTAGATGTTTTTTTTCCATCAAAACTTTATCCCCAGCAAACTTAAAATAGTATAGCTTGAATATTGCTGAGTGCGGCGTCAAACAAAAATAACAATCACAGACCCAATGTTTCAGAGTTAAACAACCCGATCCCTTTATGTTTCTCTTCCACCCCTTCTACCCGAAGCAAGGAAATTAACTGACTATATAAAGTCCAGTTACATAGTCAGTTAACTCCATTGCCTCCTTAAGATACTTCCATCCAGGTTCCAGGTTCTAACCCGGGTTACCCACCATGTGTGACCGTGCCTGTAGAACGAACGTTGATGTTTTGAAGATACGCTGATGTGATCAACCCTTACATTTGTAAAAACCTGTAAAGCGTTGTCTTGTTTCAGACCATGACTGTGATACAAATAGACTTCCTGTTTGCATCCTCGACCGGCTACCTGAACCCGTACGGCGTGGCTCAAGACTGCTACACCCGCCATACTGACCATGTTCGTAATGCATGCGGCCCCAAAGGAACATTCCGCATAGACACCAGAGGGACTGGGCTGTTGATCAATACAAATGTACGCTTATCTGTCATAAACTATTTTCTCAACGCGACCTACATGTTAACACCATCCTTAACTATACGTTCTGCAACTCAAAGTGAGTGAGTTATTATTTAAAGTCACAGCGGCAATATTTCAGCCATATCGTGACTGCAACTCAAAGCTTAACTCGACCTGTATGTTGTAATTTACTTAATCTTAATGTTTGACTCGATATGTGTGTAACACAAACATTACTTTCACGAATCCAGTAGGTTCTCGAGGGAGACAAGTCCCCCAACCAATGCTTTTCGTGCATACTAAATTAACGATCAGACTACAAAGTATGACTGGGCTCATGGTGGCGGCAGCGTGGACCGATGCAAGTGCTGTCGACCACTGTCAACAAAGGTTCAGTTATTTACAGGTCGCGATGATAGTGCTTTCATATTGTTGACTAAGGCATTAAACAACATTCACCGATTTAATCAAGTGACATCATGTCTCACTCCGGGCGGTGGCGTAGCCGAGTGGTTAAAGCGTTCACTCGTCACGCCGAAGACTCGGGTTCGATTCCCCACATGGGTACAATATATGAAGCCCTTTTCTGGTGTCCCCCGCCGTGATAGTGTTGGAATATAGTGTTGTTATCCATAGTGTTGGATAGTGTTGGAATAAATGCGGCGTAGAACCATACTCACTTATTCACTTCTGTATGTTCGGCTGTTGGCGTGCTAATGTCCAAAACTCAATCCTAGCAAGTTTTGATCATTTGGATGGATTCTAAATGAGGACAAGGTACAAATTATGTAAGGAAAGGCAATTTATATGGTCTCAATCAGAGTTTACTCTTTTGGGAATAAAGTTTTACATTGACCTAGAAAAAAAGGTAGAACAAAATTACAATGAAACATTACTGCAAATTTAAAAGCGCATGAATATTTTGGATTCACTCCTCTTTTCGAAACTGAATCACTTACCTTCTGCCCTTCCAGATGTGCTTTAAGCTTGTTAAGACTCAATACTTAATAGAGGCAGAACTACAATCTCGGTGTTTATGGAACAATGATGACACAAGAATTGACAAGAGACCAATTTTGTATAGTAGCTGGTATGATAAAGGTGTTGTTTTTTGTTAACGATCTTATGCTCAAGGAAGGTAGATTCTTGACTTATGAAATATTCACCACAAAATATTCTTAATTTACAAAGGCGTTAAAAGAGCCTTAAAACAATATCCGAATCAATTAGATATAATAAAAGTTAATTAAGATTTAGGCAACCCTGTATATCCTTTTAATCTTAGACAAGTTAACAATATCTTGGGAAGCAAATATTTATACAATCACCTCCTGAATTCCAAATTTGTAAAATTACCCTGCTATACTAAATGGAAACGAAAACTTGGTTGTCACTATGCTGAAAGCGATTAATAACGTTCAATGTCTTTTCAAATAGGTGTACCCAAAGTATCAACCTGAAATGGCAACAATTTAGAATCATACATAAGATACTACCAGTTAGAAATAATTTATTTAAAAAGGGATACATTGATTCATCTTTATGCGAATTCGGTAAAAAAAAAAGAACTTAAAACTATTGAACATTTATTCTATAAGTGGGAAATTGTTACTAATATATTTGGCACAAACTAGAAGAAAAAGGATTCTCCTAATACAAGTACGAATGTAGTTTTTAAAATAATTAATTAAAATATTATGTTAGGCATAAAAGGGGAAAACAACAGTCCTATTAATACAATCATATTATTGATTAAGAAAATTATTTATAGATCTGGCATAAACAAGAATATCCCAAATGTAGAATACATTAAAAGAGAGATTACAAAAATTATTTATTTTTCTAGTGGAGAAAAAGAAAAAAATCTTTTCCTTCTGGTCATCTCTACACTTACTGTAGTAATTTGCTGAATGTACCTTAATGTACCTTATCTTTAAAGTTTAGTAAAACCTGTATTAACGATCCATAATGTTTCCAAAGCATATCAAAACCTATACTCGTTGTATATTGTGATGTTCTTAATAACTATCATTTTATATGTACCGTTTTTTGAATAACTATATATTCACAGCTAGCTTGTATAGTTTTCCATGACAATTTCAGCAATATGTAATACTGCTTAATAAATGTTTTTTTTATATATACTTAGTCAAATATATCATGCGTACTGTAACAATAATGTAACATTTAATGCCTACCTGTACCTGAAAATATGGAGCAAATAGTTTGAAAATTCGAAACTTATTGCACTGGCAACTTGTATTCAAACTATTCAAACTTGTATTCAGATCAACACCTTCATTATTGACTACTCTGTTATTCAGCAAGTCAATAGGTGCCGTATTACCTTTGTTGCAGATAACGTGGCAATACAAGGGCGTATTTCCTTGGGGAAGTGCACAACGTTCCTACAATGGAGCCGTGATTGAGATTCTTGGTGGGGGATTCTGTGGCGGGTTTAAACCAGCAGAAGACCTGCAACTCCAGATTAACACGGAAGAAGGTATACAATGATATGATAATACTGAAATACATAATTTGCCGGTGGCATCACAACCAATCTTTGAGAACTTACTTGTTGCTAGTTGTACCATGTTTCTACTAAACTCGATTTATCAAAAAGGCATCCATTTGATAGATAGAAAATCTCACCCTCGTGACTTTTGATATCAGTTATATCAACACGAGTTGATAAAAGTGGAAAAACTCAGAGGCTTGCCTACAAAGCATTGTGATGCAATTTCATTGCGGCGATAGCTACAAGGTAGATATCGCTTGATGTCACCCATGCAATATCTCCTGTGAGAGCCAGTTTTTGATGATAAATCATGATCACGTCCAGCGATATTGTTTGAATCACATTCTATAAACATGGTCTGTTTCAGTTCTCGATGCACAGAGCGCAACGAGCTGTTAGACTGAAGGAAGATACTCCGGAAAACACATTTGCATAATCTCAAACCCAACGTTAAACCCCATTTCGCCTCACCTCATCGAGTCACATCGAGTTGCATACAGAAGAGTTCCAACAACACTGAAAGTTCACTCTGATTTGTACGACAGCGATTGTTTTAAGCACTTACTCTTCACCCTGTCCATGTTTACTCATAAATCCCATTAATACATCCTAAACTAAAACTGACATGAAGAGAATGTTGTCGACAAGTGCAGCAACATGTTTATCGAATGGCAAACGAACTTCAGGCGTTACCTTTTCTCAGAAAAAAACATCTGTTTCAAAGACTGATAATTGAAATAAATCTGTTTGATGTTTTCTCGTAATCTTGTTTATGTTTTTAACTTACTATTTATGTGCGATTGTGTCGTAGGTTTTCAAAGACACTGTTCATGACTTAGGTTGTATCTATTTCAGTAACTGATAAGACAAGCAATGTCTCGGTATTAGTGACGTCATGACTGAAGTATGTATACATTACATTCTAACCAATCCGACTCTCTGTTTGTGAGAGTGTGAACAAGGGGAACCTATATGTTGTATTTGCAAGCTTTACTTTCTGCCAGCGAATCAATTCTTCACTTTTTATTGCTCTATCGGATGTTATTATTATATTTCAGTGGTAAATAAACGTGTGTAAGTCGTTCCTTGATTGTTGTAACCATCGTATACAGTTTCGGGATAAGAAACAATATTTAGATATTGAATATACATGAAGTATAAATTAGCTTGTTCCTGCTCTGCAGAATAGAAACACATTTTACTACACCCAGACAGTGTATTTTGGTCATCTCCATTGTCGGTTACAGGTTATATATTCTATTGATAAGCAATACGTTTTTCATCTTCCCATTTTGATAGGAAGATAATTGTTGCAAGATAATATTTTCATATCGTTAATAAATGTATGTGTGTCAACCTTGCTGACTTGTTGGTAAATAGCTGTCTGATGTTATAATTCAACGCGCGGTGATGACCGATCTCTGCCGATTCTGCCATTGCACCTGCAACAACAGCTGAACACTGTCGTCTACATCCTGGTCTGTTGCAGTGTGGTATCATCTTCGTTATACATCTGCAACATTACTAACGCATCACACAACACACTTTGAACTACGTCACCAGGACCCGATCAAGAGTGAGATGTAATGGAGTCTGTCCATACCCTACAACATTGACATCAGGCATATTTGACTAAGCCTATGACTGACTTGATTAATCGATCCTACTGGTGTAGAAAGCTTCCTCCTGATCATGTAAAAGGGCGCCTAACGCAGAAATGCCGTAATCGTCATTTACATAATGCGTGACGGACAGTTCTTTCCCCACGTTGGGGAAGAGGTAAATCTGACGGTGCCAAATTAAAGTTCAGGACGTTTTGGGAGGTAGTTCCCAACTTGGATTCCATTTGAATTCCTGAAAATTGAAGCCATCACTTGCCAGCTGATGGGAAAGACGTTGCCTTCTGCGAAGGGGGGGACGTTAGATGTTTCCACTGCTTTGACTTGTTTAGTTGTCTGGTTGATAGTGGTGAACCTAAAACCCATGTCTCAACATCGTCCGCTTCAAAACGACGTATATTCTAACGAGAGATGATGATCCTGGGGTGTTTCTGATCAGAAATAAGAAGCATTGGAACCCAGCATGCTGAAACCTTGGTCATGCCAAGCTCATTTTCCCAACGCTCCCATGGGAGATGCCAACTGTACTAGGTATGACAATCTTTTCCTCAGCAATTGCAATGGTAAAGGTCTTCCTGATATTGGATCATCTTCGAAGCCCTCTCTTCCCCTCTTGAACTGTGCTGTCCACCTCTTAACAGCGACTGGGGCCGCAGCAGCATTCCCATAGCACCATGTTCACATGGATGACTGTTGGCTGTTCAGTTGGAGATACTGCATGAGAGCACGGTAGCCACAGAATACGTTTTGCTTTGTTTGTTTGTTGTTTAACGCCGCACACAGCAATATTTTAGCTATATGACGACGGTCTGGAAATAATCGAATCTGGACCAAACAATCCAGTGATTGACATCATGAGCATCGATCTACACAATTGGGATACGATGACATACATCAACCAAGTCAGCGATCATGTCAACCTGATCTCGTATGTCGCCTCTTAAGACAAGCATAGTCGCATCCTATGCCAAGCATGGGTTGCTGAATACATCTTCTGATCCTATTCTAATCCTATTGTTCACGGGTAACAGAATACCTAATCACATTGATGCCTGCCGAAATATGCAGCGTGGTTGTGCGCAACCCACCCCTTTTCAGACACTTTATCTTGAAGTTAACAACATGGACAGGTGCATGCACGTGCAAAAACTGACATTTAAAACAAAGCATATTCAATTTGGGCTTCTTTGCCTCTGAAATGAGGTACCGCTGACATGGGGTAATACTGGAAGTCATGCTGAAAGAAATGTATTCTCTACCCCAACAAAATATTAAGATTGGCACCTCTGTGCAACGAAACGTCTGTGTGTCTGAACAGTGACAGAAAACATATTTCACCACTGTCAAACCCTAACCCCGTCGAATATGAAATGGTCAATCAATCAGTGAAGTATGACACCACAGGTGCAAAAAAACCCCAAAGAAGTCATCCTCATTTATTTCAGTACGTGTAGGCCACAGGCCTTTGTGTACATGACATACAGCAATGTACACACGAGTGTGCACTGCTAGATGTAATACATAACGGTGGACATAACATACAGCAATGTACACACGAGTGTGCACTGCATACATGTAATACATAACAGATGGACATTACATATAGGATATATGGATAATTGCAGTACAGAATCCTTTGTAAACTAGGGACATAACATCTCTCCACATTTGCATGGTTCAAACACGTTGCTGTGTTACTGATTATATTTGGACTTGGAGATGATAGCAGTCGTCAAACTTTGTATATTTGGGTATATATAATAATTTGATTCAATGTACATTGCCAAAGGTGAGCTTAGGCTGGGCATATCAACAACAAGTGGTATTCATTTTCAATGTAATCAGAGTACATACATTACAGTTTCTAAATTTCAGCAGAATATTGAACTGTTGTCCTCGCTCAATTGTGACAGCTCAGCCGAAATTGGGAAAGTTAGCCCGATTACATAGTTTGTAAGTAATCTGCACATACAAAAAGTGTTTTTAAATTAGCATAAAATCCAACTAGTCGCTGTGCCAGAGTTGTTGAAAATTGTCTTTAGACGCTGAGAGAGCAGATTAAGAAAAAAAGATTTCTCAACTTGCGGGGGGGGGGGGGGGGGGGGGGGGAGGAGACACAAGGTAGACCCTGTCATCCGGGCACCTGGGCGGCTTCCTGAACCTTCGAACAACGGATGTCATATGGGTTCTCAAAGTGACATTTATAACCTGAAATTGCAACCTGATTTGGTCGAATGAACTCCGCCGTTCCATACTTAAAAGGTATATCGTTATGGGGCTTAAAACATCACCTTTGGTTGTGCTACAATATCGTGATTAAAATTAAACCTCAGTTGACAACGGTGGTCGTTTTGTATTGCCTGAAAATTATTCTTACAGATCACATTCGTTGATTCGCGTTCATTTTGTCTTTGTTTGATGTTTAACGCCGCACTCAGCAATATTCCAGCTATTTGACGACGGTCTGTAAATAATCGACTCTGGACCAGAAAATCCAGTGCTTGATATCATGAGCATCGATCCACGCAATTGGGATCAACCACGTCAGCGAGCCAGACCAACCGATCCCGTAAGTCGCCTCTTACGACAAGCATGGGTTGCTGAGACCTATTCTACTCCGAATCTTCGCGGGTTGCGTTCGTTTTGTATTCCATGTCACTGAAAACTTTCCTAGGATGCTTCACTATTTTGTGAGGGGGCTTTATCGTTGTAAATATTGTTAAATAAACAGTTTCCTTTTTCGGCTACGTTCTGCTTTAATTGTTTCTAGAACTGTTTCAAAGTGGAGAGACTGGTAAAAAATAAATTTTCGAGGACCTGTAATTATTCTGTATGCTTTCATCTGCAGTCTTTTTAACTGTAAACGCAACTCCTTGTCCACAGCCACCCACAGCTTCAATGCCTACTCAAAGTGACGACCTGTCAATACCGTGTACGTCTTAAGAAACATATTTTTAGTCAATGTAATTTTTTCATGGAAAAGATCCTTTTTGAAGTTTTACCAATAATATTTGATATGTGACGGTATTGTCCAAGGCGTTTTAAGATGTTATATGATAGTAATTTGAAGATAATTTGCGTACCTTCACCTGAACTAAGGCTAGCCCTCGTACCTGGTCCTGACAACTTGGGGATGAACGTAAGACGAACTCCCCGATTTCCAGGAATCTGAACTCTCTTCCCTAATACCATATATGTTTTATCTGTCGGTTGGTCTCTTATTAGTAGCTTGGATGTTATTTCTAACCTCATTACCTTTACTATGATACCTGATAGACCCCTTGCCCTCGTGGCCTAGTACTGCTCTCACCTCGGAGGGCTGTGTATCTACTCAAGGATGATACATACTCAAGAATGTTGCCAATTCTTGTCATAACAATAATATGGCAATAATATCTTATTTGTTTAATTGTCCAAATACGTATTACAATTCATGATTTAACTTTTATTTATTTATTTAAGTGACTACAGTAAACTACGTTTATAACGAACACGCTTATAACGAACTGACGGATATTACGAACTTATTTTGTGTCCTGATAATTTGTTGTTTATATGCTGTATGTATGCTTATAACGAACTACGGTTATTACGAACTAAAAATAGTGGTCCCCTCGAGTTCGTTATAACCGTAGTCTACTGTATTATAATTCCATGCCTATAATAGTATCACTTCCTACATAACGTTATTCCCCATTGCTTATGATTTTCCATACCATATACATGTTTGTCTTTATCCGCCATGTCAATGAAGCTAATTTCATTCTTAAGAGAAAAGCATGGGCTACGTTTTATGTGGATTGTAAGATATAAACCCAGTTCAGCCCAGTCACTAACTCTTTTTAAGTTTGAATTCACTGACGGGTTTTTTCCCGGATCTTTTCAGGGTTTTTTTCACAGAGCGTTGTTTCCTGCTTCTATTCTGCACTCTCTCACGAGCTGCCTGTGCGTTCTCAGTGGGTTTTCTTCACGCTTTTTCGCAATAAAGTCCTCTGAACGGCTGCGAAGCTTTCACGGCGGACCTTGTCCAAAAACTTCTGTAAAATACATAGTGGAAGTAAAGACATTGAGATATTTAAGACATATCTGAGTCTGAGTGAGTGTGATGTGAGTGTGTGAAGTGAACAACCCCCCTTCGAACAGAAGTCCGAAGATGCAAGTCTTCGGCGGTTGCCACTTTGGGTGACACCCACGAACACGGGAGTGGTGCTGACACATCACCAGGGAGAAGAATAGACTTCAACTTAGACGACCGCCTCCGTGGTCTTGTGGTAGAACGTCCACCCGGAGAGCGGAAGGTCCGGGGTTCGATCCCCAGCCGCGTCACACCAAAAGACGTTAAAAGTTGGTACTTGTTGTTGCCCTGCCTGGCGCTCGACATTAAGGGGCTAAAATAAGGACTGGTCAGCTCGGAGTCAGTATATTGTGTCTGAGTGAAGTATTCATGTTAAACTGCGGCATGGTATCTCAGCGGGCTAGCACTATAAAACCGGCATCAGTCTGGACTAGTACAAGCAGCACTACTACGTGTTATGTAAGTGCAATAAGGGGCACGGGTTGCCTGGTCGTCTCAGGCGCCGCGATGTGCGTCCCTTGGACACGCCACAAATCTATGATTGTGGGCTCGAATCCCGGTTCGCCCTGATTATGTTTCTAGGTTTGTCAGCACCATACCCGTGCTCGTGGGTTTCACCGAAGTGGTAAACGCTGCATCACTTGGGCTTTCCTACCATATTAAGCTGACACGCCGTGATATAAATGGAATACTGTCACTCACTATAAGTGTAATAATTTTGAACGCGACGTTAAACCCCATTTCACCTCACCTTCAACTTAAACCACATTTCTCATTTTCGGATGCAAACTTTAAACGCGCAATCGCGATGTTGAAGCCCCTGGTCAGATTTTGAGATTCCGGGTCAGATTAGGCCCGAAGTTAGAGCCAAGGAAATGGATCGGGTGGTCAGGCTCTGACTTCACTGATTGTATCACATGACCATGTATAGGACATTTATTATGCTATCTAAGACTGATTTGTCTTGTCCAATCTCAGTTACCTAGAGTGGAAGTGACATGATATTGACTTACCGGTGCTTCGCTCATGTACTTTATGGCCTGAAACAAATATTGGCAGATGAAAAGTAGAAATGTAGAAAAGTAGAAAAGTAGAATCTGACAAAACTGTTGTCGACTGCTCTGTTATAGTCCGTAAATGAATAATGGAAAAGAATACAGACCAGAAATATTCCGTAATTCAGTGATGACTTTAGTAACAGTAATGGTCGAGAAATGGTTGAGTCATCAATTAATCAATAGCTAGGAGTGAGTGAGTGAGTGAGAATGGTTTTACGCCGCTTTTAGCAATATTCCAGCAATATCACGGCGGGGGACACCAGAAATGGGCTTCACACATTGTACCAATGTCGGGAATCGAACCCGGGTCTTCGGTGTGACGAGCGAACGCTTTAACCACTAGGCTACCCGACCGCCCCCAATAGCTAGGAGGATCAGGATACAGGCAGCCACGTGGTATGGTGTGTTTTAACAAATCATTGGACGTTCAGAACCTACAAACTGTACAACAACACCATTGAGTTGGGGGTGACCGTAACCAACAGCATGGGTTTATGGTGCTGACTTCACATGCACAACTAGTAAATGTTCTAAAACTAAAATGTTTGTTTGTTGGTTCGTTGTTTAATGCCGCACTCATCAATATGCCAGCTATACGATTGCAAGCATCAGATAGCATGGCCACGCGATCCCGTTAGTCGCCTCTTACGACAAACATGGGTTGCTGAAGATCAATTTTAAGCCGGAGTTTCGCGGGGCACTTAAATGACGTCCCTGTTTTCAGTCCAAGGCATCACAAGCTCTAACGGTTAATGCTGCCTGGCCTGACCGGCCCTGCGACAAACAAGTATGACAATACTAAACAATACTTTATTTACCTTAACTTTGTCAAAGTTATTCTGGGAAAGTGTAATGTCTCTCCGAAAGCAGCACGTCAAACTCGCAATCTCGCGAATGGCGGGTCCCTTCAGATCATCAATACTGATATGATCTGCGGATCAGAAACGAAACTGGGGGGGGATAAACGAGGCTGAAGTGTTTGCATAGCATGTCAGAATAATAGCAGTTCGACAATTTCCCCACAAACCAGTAGTGTAGCAAATGTGTAAACACATAACTAAACAAGCACATACAATAAATATATGCTATTATTAGCTTTTAACAACTGACATTTTAGAGGAATGTACTTTTTCTTCTTACAGGCACAGTGTATCAATATTTACAGACGAGCGTATCAATATTTACAGACGAGTGTATCGATATTTACAGACGAGTGTATCGATATTTACAGACGAGTGTATCGATATTTACAGACGAGTGTATCAATATTTACAGACGAGTGCATCAATATTTACAGACGAGTGTATCAATATTTATAGACGAGTGTATCGATATTTACAGACGAGTGTATCGATATTTACAGACGAATGTATCAATATTTATAGACGAGTGTATCAATATTTACAGACGAGTGCATCAATATTTGCCTGTCATCAAATTACTACGAACAAAAGCTTTCGGTGAAATTTGAGTCAGGTGTATATAGAACCACATGTTTCATGTGCTCCTGTGCGATAATGTGCCACCTACACCGTAGAATGGAACGAATGTTATCGAAGCACATGATTCATGTGCCGTTCCTGTGTCATGGCGTACCACCGGTTATTCAAACACAGGACTCAGGATGAGTTATTGTGCTATGGCGTACCGACGACACTAGATAATGGAGCACATGTTATTGAAGCACATGATTCATTTTGGGCTTCTGTCCTATATGGTGCCACCTCTAGTAGAGGATTGAACACGTTTTGATATAGCACATATTTGATGTTGGTCTCCTACATTATAGCGTGACACCTATCCTGGAGAGTGGAACACGTGTTTTTGAAGCACATGATTTATGCTGGTGTCCTGTGATTAAGCGTTCCGCCTATACTGGAGAGTGGAACACGTGTTTTTGAAGCACATGATTTATGCTTGTGTCCTGTGATTTAGCGTTCCGCCTATCCTGGAGAGTGGAACACGTGTTTTTGAAGCACATGATTTATGCTTGTGTCCTGTGATTAAGCGTTCCGCCTATACTGGAGAGTGGAACACGTGTTTTTGAAGCACATGATTTATGCTGGTGTCCTGTGATTAAGCGTTCCGCCTATACTGGAGAGTGGAACACGTGTTTTTGAAGCACATGATTTATGCTTGTGTCCTGTGATTTAGCGTTCCGCCTATCCTGGAGAGTGGAACACGTGTTTTTGAAGCACATGATTTATGCTTGTGTCCTGTGATTAAGCGTTCCGCCTATACTGGAGAGTGGAACACGTGTTTTTGAAGCACATGATTTATGCTGGTGTCCTGTGATTTAGCGTTCCGCCTATCCTGGAGAGTGGAACACGTGTTTTTGAAGCACATGATTTATGCTTGTGTCCTGTGATTAAGCGTTCCGCCTATACTGGAGAGTGGAACACGTGTTTTTGAAGCACATGATTTATGCTGGTGTCCTGTGATTAAGCGTTCCGCCTATACTGGAGAGTGGAACACGTGTTTTTGAAGCACATGATTTATGCTTGTGTCCTGTGATTTAGCGTTCCGCCTATCCTGGAGAGTGGAACACGTGTTTTTGAAGCACATGATTTATGCTGGTGTCCTGTGATTTAGCGTTCCGCCTATACTGAAGAATAGACTGTTTGTATTGAAGCACACGCTTGACTCTTACATGGTAACAGACCACCTATACCAGAGAAAGAAGTACGTGGTTCGTGTGTGGCTGCTATAATGGTTGTACAGAGACAACTCAATGCTGCTATCCTAACTAGGCCTGGCATTGGACATTTCATTAAGATGATATTTTCTTACCTTCTCTTGTGCAGAAGGGCTTGAGTTTTGGAACCCTCACAGCTGGAAATAATCATAACACATGTCATTTCCATACGATGTTTACACTTAAAGGGCAAGTAAAGTCACCATTTGCAACTTCATCACAATTTTTTGGCCAAAATTACATTTGAAAAAGGGATATAAAAAAAGACGATGAAAAACGACAGGCGAAATCGTGCACCGCAACTGAGGGGATTCCCTTTACTGAGGTTAAAACGGGTTCCGTTTAACGCGCTGTGCAATTTCAACGATCTGCCTGCTTTTTCCAATAATTTTATGTCACCTAATTCCTTAACAAGATTGAAGATACCTTCAGTTGTCTACTCAGGGGATAATCTCTGACTGGCATTCAATAAAACCCTCATAGTTCTTCATATCGTTGGATTTGTTTGTTTGTTGTTTAACACCACACTCAGCAATATTCCAGCTATATGACGTCTGTCTGTAATTAATGGACCAGACAATCCAGTGATTGACATCATGAGCATCGATCCACGCAATTGGGATAAGATGACATGCATCGACCAAGTCAGCGAGCCTGACCATCCCGTTAGTCGCCTTTTACGACAAGCGTAGTCGCCTTTTACGGCAAGCATGGGTTGTTAACGACCTATTCTAACCCGGATCTTATCGTTGGAAGTAAACAGCATTTCGCTCCAACACGAATATGTCATGTACGGCAGATTCTATGAAAAGAGAGGGGTGCTAGACGACTGCAAATAATTAACATGGTGTGCGCGCGCGCGCGTGTGTGTGTGTGTGTGTGTGTGTGTGTGTGTGTGTGTGTGAATTGTGTACAGCTACGTGTTTATTATGTTTCAGGGTGGCCATGGTTGATATCATCCAGTCATGAGGGCAGTACCAATAACATTCGCCATAAATGTGTTAAAGGAAGTTGACCTACCTGGGGAACACAATCGCTCCAGCAGCTGAACAAACCATTGCTTCTTTGTTGCGTCAACCATTTCGAAACATTTCAGACAATCGGGAACAGCGACAGATTTTATCATTAAGGGTACAATGCTGCCGTTGTTGTTAATGCTGTATTGAACAGCTAGATTTAGCTGGTACATAGACCACTTAGACTGTACAAACTCCGGCGACAGCACCACAACTACATGATGGGAGTTTTCGAGAAACTCCTGAAACAGATCTGTGATGTACTTCCCCCCGCAGCTGAAATTCCGATCGTATTCACCACACTTAATTCCATACTTCTCCGACTCCAGAGTGTTGATCCACTTCATGACCCACTTTGTGTCAGCATTGGCATGGCAGAAATACGCCACATATTTCTTGAATTTTCTGTTGCACTCCGCCATTTTGAAATCACAAAGTTTGTCACATTTGGGTTGGTCGACCAACATCGGGCTCATTCTGGTAGACTGCAGACGAACTATAGTCGGTGTCACCTACAGTGGGTACAATCATCGAGTTCTCCGTCAAGAGGCTGGGACAAATGTAGTTGACAAATGGCGTTGTGACAAAATGATTTTATCTGCGTATTAATATTTTGTCCTGGAATAAGTCCACGTCAGGCTGAATACAGCACGTGAACCGGAGTCTCTGGCTCGAGTCACTCGCCGTGTTCCGGCTGTGACGGATATAGACGTTATCACATGTGAGTGATGAAGTCCTGATGTCCTGAAGGCGACTCGAGGCAAGATGTTATGTTTGTTCGTCGTTTAAACACTGCACTCAGCAATATTCCAGCTATATGACGGTGGTCTGTAAAAAATCGGGTATGGGCCAGACAATCCAGTGATTGACAGCATGAGCATCGATTCACGCATTTGGATATGGTGACATGCACCAACCAAGTCAGCGAGCCTGACCACCCGTTAGCCTCTTACGACAAGAATAGTCGCCTTTTACATCAAGCATGGAAGCGTGGGTTGCAAGTGGTTCCCTGATGGCAGTGGACTATGTTGCTAGAGCCATATAGAGCTCTTGACAAATGAAATGAAATGTCTGCCTTGTCACTCTAAAACTCTCAATTCATTGACCACCGGTGAAAGTTTTGTTCACAATTTCATTCCACCACTCTCGTGACCCAGATCTTAGCCCACACAGGAAATAGGAGAGATTTCCTCCAGGTCTTCATATAGACAGACCAGGAAGGAATGGTCAATTCTCTTCCTTTAAGGGGGAACAAAATATGGAGCTGCACACATCAATAATATAATATGTGAACACAAATCTTTATTTTTACATACATGAGTAAATTTACTCTCCATGCAATTACGCTCTTATATGTATTTCTGCCCCTGTGAACAGGGCTGTCCATGCCTCCAAAGGATACTGGGGAAGACTGATCAAAACATGAGATATTTCTATTATCATTCCTCATTCCTGATTAATCACTAATTGCTATATGCTTGTCTTAAGAGGCGACTAACGGGATCGGATAGTCAGTCTTGCTGACATAGTTGATGCATGTCATCGTATCCCAATTGAGTAGCTCGATGGTCATGATATCAATCACTGGATTGTCTGGTCCAGACCCGATTATTTATAGCCTGCCATCATATAGCTAGAATATTGCTGAATGTGGCATGAAATGGCAAACAAACAAACAAAAACTAATTGATAGCTATTCCAAATTAATTATCAATTGTGACATTCCAAATACAATCTAATACTATATTTATATGAAGCAGTGAGAATGTATGATTTTAAGCTGTTTAGCAATATTTAAGCTATATCATGGCAGTGGGCAAAAGAATGATTTACCACATGGCCAAAATGTGTGAATCCCAAAAGTTTGGTGTTTGGCATGACTATCAAACACACTATCCATTGAGTGAGTGAGTATGGTTTTACGCCGTTTTTAGCAATATTCCCGCAATATCACGGCAGGGGACACCAGAAATAAAATGGGCTTCACACATTGTACCCATGTCGGGAATCGAACCCGGATCTTCGGCGTGACGGGCTAACGCTTTAACCGCTAGGCTACCCAACCGCCCCACACTATCCATGGGACTACCCTACCAGCCATAGCTGAGTGGAAGGAAAGGTCACAGCTCCTCCCACAGTTGGTTGACAAATAAATACGAGAATGGATGCCATATTTTATTCATAACTGTACAATATAACCAAGACAATATCCATGACAACATCAACGACCCTTCTTCTTCATTTTCATCTTCTTTCTAACCCCCCGGGATTCCTCGGTGTCATCCTCGTCGCGATGACGTTTCTTCTTCTTCCCATCAGTAGCATCATTCATTTCCTGAAGAACAAGATACTCACGTCACAGTTCTGTAATCAATCTATCAGTTACAATACGCTCGGAACTGATAATGGGATGAGTGAGTGATTGAGTGAGTGAGAATGGGATGAATACAGGCTCCCAGAGATGAGGGACGGGTATAGGATGAGTGAGTGAGTGAGTGAGAGAGTGAGTGTGAGCTGAGAATGGGGTGGGTATAGGCTAAGTGAGTGAGAGCTGAGAATGGGATGGGTATAAGAAGAGTGAGTGAGAGCTGAGAATGGGATGTGTATAGGCTGAGTGAGTGAGTGAATGAGTGAGTGTGAGCTGAGAATGGGACGGGTATAGGATGAGTGAGTGAGTGAGTGAGAATGGGATGAATACAGGCTCCCAGAGATGAGGGACGGGTATAGGATGAGTGAGTGAGTGAGAGAGTGAGTGTGAGCTGAGAATGGGGTGGGTATAGGCTAAGTGAGTGAGAGCTGAGAATGGGATGTGTATAGGCTGAGTGAGTGAGTGAGTGAGTGAATGAGTGAGTGTGAGCTGAGAATGGGATGGGTATAGGATGAGTGAGTGAGAGCTGAGAATGGGATGTGTATAGGCTGAGTGAGTGAGAGCTGAGAATGGGATGTGTATAGGCTGAGTGAGTGAGTGAGTGAGTGAGTGAGTGAATGAGTGAGTGTGAGCTGAGAATGGGACGGGTATAGGATGAGTGAGTGAGTGAGTGAGTGAGTGAGTGAGTGTGAGCTGAGAATGGGACGGGTATAGGCTGAGTGAGTGAGTGAGTGTGAGCTGAGAATGGGACGGGTATAGGCTGAGTGAGTGAGTGAGTGAGTGAGTGAGTGAGTGTGAGCTGAGAATGGGGTGGGTATAGGCTAAGTGAGTGAGAGCTGAGAATGGGATGTGTATAGGCTGAGTGAGTGAGTGAATGAGTGAGTGTGAGCTGAGAATGGGATGGGTATAGGATGAGTGAGTGAGAGCTGAGAATGGGATGTGTATAGGCTGAGTGAGTGAGAGCTGAGAATGGGATGTGTATAGGCTGAGTGAGTGAGTGAGTGAGTGAGTGAATGAGTGAGTGTGAGCTGAGAATGGGACGGGTATAGGATGAGTGAGTGAGTGAGTGAGTGAGTGTGAGCTGAGAATGGGGCGGGTATAGGCTGAGTGAGTGAGTGAGTGAGTGAATGAGTGAGTGTGAGCTGAGAATGGGATGGGTATAGGATGAGTGAGTGTGAGCTGAGAATGGGATGTGTAAAGGATGAGTGAGTGAGAGCTGAGAATGGGATGTGTATAGGCTGAGTGAGTGAGAGCTGAGAATGGGATGTGTATAGGCTGAGTGAGTGAGTGAGTGAGTGAATGAGTGAGTGTGAGCTGAGAATGGGATGGGTATAGGCTGAGTGAGTGAGTGAGTGAGTGAGTGAGTGAGTGTGAGCTGAGAATGGGACGGGTATAGGATGAGTGAGTGAGTGAGTGAGTGAGTGTGAGCTGAGAATGGGATGTGTTTAGGCTGAGTGAGTGAGTGAGTGAGTGAATGAGTGAGTGTGAGCTGAGAATGGGATGTGTATAGGCTGAGTGAGTGAGAGCTGAGAATGGGATGGGTATAGGATGAGTGAGTGAGTGAGTGAATGAGTGAGTGTGAGCTGAGAATGGGACGGGTATAGGATGAGTGAGTGAGTGAGTGTGAGCTGAGAAAGGGATGTGTATAGGCTGAGTGAGTGAGTGAGTGAGTGAATGAGTGAGTGTGAGCTGAGAATGGGATGTGTATAGGCTGAGTGAGTGAATGAGTGAGAATGGGATGGGTATAGGATGAGTGAGTGAGTGAGAGCTGAGAATGGGATGGGTATAGGATGAGTGAGTGAGTGAGTGAGTGAATGAGTGAGAATGGGATGGGTATAGGATGAGTGAGTGAGTGAGTGAGTGAGTGTGAGCTGAGAAAGGGATGTGTATAGGCTGAGTGAGTGAGTGAGTGAGTGAATGAGTGAGTGTGAGCTGAGAATGGGATGTGTATAGGCTGAGTGAGTGAATGAGTGAGAATGGGATGGGTATAGGATGAGTGAGTGAGTGAGAGCTGAGAATGGGATGGGTATAGGATGAGTGAGTGAGTGAGTGAGTGAATGAGTGAGAATGGGATGGGTATAGGATGAGTGAGTGAGTGAGTGAGTGAGTGTGAGCTGAGAATGGGATGTGTATAGGCTGAGTGAGTGAGAGCTGAGAATGGGATGTGTATAGGCTGAGTGAGTGAGTGAGTGAGTGAATGAGTGAGTGTGAGCTGAGAATGGGATGGGTATAGGATGAGTGAGTGAGTGAGTGAGTGTGAGCTGAGAATGGGATGTGTATAGCCTGAGTGAGTGAGTGAGTGAATGATTGAGTGTGAGCTGAGAATGGGATGGGTATAGGATGAGTGAGTGAGAGCTGAGAATAGGATGGGTATAGGATGAGTGAGAATGGGATGGGTATAGGCTGAGTGAGTGAGTGAGTGAGTGAGTGAATGAGTGAGAATGGGGTGAGCTGAGAATGGGATGTGTATAGGCTGAGTGAGTGAGTGAGTGAGTGAATGAGTGAGAATGGGATGGGTATATCACTCGCCGTCTTCCGGCTGTGTGGATGTGACGGATATAGACGTTATCACATGTGAGTGAGTGAGTGAGTGAGTGAGTGAGTGAGTGATTGAGAATGGGATGAAGGGTGGAATAACTTTGACAAAAAAAAAGCTCTGGTGTCTGTAAGAGACACGACTGAATCAACATCTGTGCTGTTTTTTAAACCATCTTTCACACCTAGAATGTCTGACAGGAGAATGACAGAACAAGTTTACTATGTTGTTCATGGTGTTCATGTTGTTAAATGTTATTCTTTGCTGCAGCTTAATTCTTCAAAGAGCGATGATAATGTCATTTACACAAGAAACTGTTGCTCCACCCGTTACGAGCACTCTCAATCAAGACAAGCAAAGCAAGTGTACAGTGTACTCGGCAATAGTCCTGCTTCATGACGGCAATCGCTACATAATCCAGTGGTTGATATTATGAGCACACAGTCAAAGTTTGATGACATGCAATCATCCAAGTCACAGAGTCTGACCAATATATCCATTTAGTCACCTCTTATTGGTGGCTGGGGACCTGTTCTAACCCCAAATTACCATAGGGCTATTGAATACAAGTGACTTAACCATATTCAAACAGATCATAGGAATTTTTTATCACTCACAAAATCGGATGATTTCTGAATCTGATGATAATGGCTAACGCACAACTCTCAGTAGTGAAGTGTGGCTCTGTGCTGGGCTTGAGCAAGTCCAGTAGAATCCTGGAACCCCTGAGACACTCAAGTGCCTACCACCGTAGATGTAAACAGCATCTCAGATGTGTTCAAGCATCAGTGACTAACAAATAAAACTTTCAGGAACAAATTTTGACATTAAATGAAATTTGATATAATGTCTCAAAGATGTCTCAATTTATGCAAATAATCTCATTATTCTCGCTACACAAAGTTCTTGGGACATCCAATCACGGGTCACGTCAAAATGACTTTTCATCCGACCAATCAGAGCCTTGCCTACCAGATCAGGAAAGTGACAGTCAGATTATGTTTTCTGATCATGCAAACTTGAAAAGGTTAACACGGGGTAACCCAAACAACAGGCTGTACGACTGATTCCATCAAAATCATCGTCTATCTCTCGCTTCAATGGGATACAGATTTGAAACAGAAGCGCCTGTAGGATAACGTTGTCAAAACAGTTTTCAAAGCGTCGTCAGGAATGGAAGTCACCAGTTTGAAACTAGTGCTGTAATACCAGAGCTGCTTTCTAATTGGCTAATGTTGACTTTATGTTAATCATTTCATTGGTCATCAAAGTTTGCGAAAGGTCATTCTGACATGACCTGTAAGGGGATGTCCTTAGATATTCTAGTGGCAGCGAGAACTAAAATCTGATTTTAATGAGATTGTGTACACAGAGTTCTGTCCTTGATATTAACAGTCTGTGAATAGTATTTGTCTGTCCACCAGCGGATAACCTTTGTGCTGGAGGTACAGGGAGCTCAGGGGAATACTGACCATTTTGGCGTGTCTCTGTGCCTCGCTGACTCGCTCCATCAACATCATCACCTCCTCCTCCTCCGTCTTGTACAGCGGCAGCTTCTTGTTGATCAGGTGCTCGATACGCTGGTACAGCTCAACATCGTATCTGTCACACAAACAATGCAAACATTGGAGTCAGGTGCTCGATACGTTAGTACAGCTCAATGTCATATCTGTCACACAAACAATGCAAACATTGGAGTCAGGTGCTCGATACGTTTGTACAGCTCAATGTCATATCTGTCACACAAACAATGCAAACATTGGAGTCAGGTGCTCGATACGTTTGTACAGCTCAGTGTCATATCTGTCACACAAACAATGCAAACATTGGAGTCAGGCGCTCGATACGTTTGTACAGCTCAGTGTCATATGTCACACAAACAATGCAAACATTGGAGTCAGGTGCTCGATACGTTTGTACAGCTCAGTGTCATATGTCACACAAACAATGCAAACATTGGAGTCAGGTGCTCGATACGTTTGTACAGCTCAGTGTCATATCTGTCACACAAACAATGCAAACATTGGAGTCAGGTGCTCGATACGTTTGTACAGCTCAGTGTCATATGTCACACAAACAATGCAAACATTGGAGTCAAGTGCTCGATACGTTTGTACAGCTCAACATCGTATCTGTCACACAAACAATGCAAACATTGGAGTCAGGTGCTTGATACGTTTGTACAGCTCAACATCGTATCTGTCACACAAACAATGCAAACATTGGAGTCAGGTGCTCGATACGTTTGTACAGCTCAATGTCATATCTGTCACACAAACAATGCAAACATTGGAGTCAAGTGCTCGATACGTTTGTACAGCTCAACATCGTATCTGTCACACAAACAATGCAAACATTGGAGTCAGGTGCTCGATACGTTTGTACAGCTCAACATCGTATCTGTCACACAAACAATGCAAACATTGGAGGTAGGTGCTCGATACGTTTGTACAGCTCAATGTCATATGTCACACAAACAATGCAAACATTGGAGGTAGGTGCTCGATACGTTTGTACAGCTCAATGTCATATCTGTCACACAAACAATGCAAACATTGGAGTCAGGCGCTGGATACGTTTGTACAGCTCAGTGTCATATGTCACACAAACAATGCAAACATTGGAGTCAGGTGGTCGATACGTTTGTACAGCTCAGTGTCATATCTGTCACACAAACAATGCAAACATTGGAGTCAGGCGCTCGATACGTTTGTACAGCTCAATGTCATATGTCACACAAACAATGCAAACATTGGAGTCAGGTGGTCGATACGTTTGTACAGCTCAGTGTCATATCTGTCACACAAACAATGCAAACATTGGAGTCAGGTGGTCGATACGTTTGTACAGCTCAGTGTCATATCTGGCACACAAACAATGCAAACATTGGAGTCAGGTGCTCGATACGCTAGTACAGCTCAATGTCATATGTCACACAAACAATGCAAACATTGGAGTCAGGTGGTCGATACGTTTGTACAGCTCAGTGTCATATCTGTCACACAAACAATGCAAACATTGGAGTCAGGTGCTCGATACGTTAGTACAGCTCAGTGTCATATCTGTCACACAAACAATGCAAACATTGGAGTCAGGTGGTCGATACGTTAGTACAGCTCAATGTCATATCTGTCACACAAACAATGCAAACATTGGAGTCAGGTGGTTGATAGGTTTGTACAGCTCAATGTCATATGTCACACAAACAATGCAAACATTGGAGTTAGGCGCTCGATATGCTGGTACAATATCCATGACAGTCCATGAGCATCAATCCACGCAATCAGAATATGATGACATGCATCAACCAAGTCAGCGATAAGCATAGTCCCTTTTTAAGGCAAGCGTGGGTTGCTGAAGACCTATTCTACCCCGGATCTTCACGGGTCCACAGTAACAATGACAACAATGGATCACACTGGGGGCCTGGGACCTATTGTGATGATTGCCGCAGAATGACAACAGCAGAGTTAATGAATGGAGATTGTTTACTGTCATAAATATCATGAAATAGGAATGCGACCCTTTGGAGAACTTATTTATTATGAGTAGTTTACGACATGGAAACAGTTGAGAGTAATGATCTCTTTGTCACATAATGTTATACTTAATATAACCAAAGTTCAAGACATGTGTATTCACTGTAGCAACATTTGACACTGCGCATAAATACAATGCTGAGTGAACTGCTCAATCTATAACATAGTGCCCAATAATTTGCCTCCATATTTAGCTTACATCAGCACTCACACATCAGTGAACCTCTTTCTAAACCTTTTCTGGAATGTCATCCAAAATATTTTCAGAGCAATTAGACATTGTATAGATGCATGGAGGCTATTAAAAGTAGAGACTTCCAGGTGACCTTGTTTGCATATTTATCAGTTGAGTCATAATTGGTGAAAATTGTTTGCAGCAAAATAAGTCCTATAACTATGTCCGAGCCCAAGGTTATTTCCGATACCTTCTCTCATAAGGTATTTCTCGGGAGTGAGGGATGAGTCCCTTCCTGGGTTATCTCCCTTCCCTTTACACACAGGAGGGCGTCTCAGGCGATAAATCCAGAACAAATATGAGACTATGATGCACACAGCAGCAGCTTAAACATGTTAAAGGTAGCACTTCCTCCACCATGACAAACTACTTGAACGTGATGAAGTCCAACATGGCAAGTTACCTTCACAACTGGTGTGTCAGATTCACATAGCTGCCAACTTTCCCATTTAAAGTGAGTATTAAGTATCTTCTGGCCGGAACACCAAAGACCAATGATATTATTGTACAATACAATACGGCTATGTGATTCGTTACCTGGTTGATAGACTAACTGCTTAGTTTCTATTTCGACTACAGCAACTTTCCATAATATGAATTGAGTGTCTCAATTGAACAGAAGCAACATCATAAATAGACTTCATACCAATCTGTAAACAAGGTGCGCTTACGTTCTTAGCAGAAGGTGTAAGGCTATATCCTTACCATCTCTTTACTGGTGAGTTTTCTTTGTGTTCGTAGAGTGGACATTATTCGTATGAATTAGGGAGGAATCGTGTCATCTTAGTTGTAAATTCGTAACAAGTTTTTTGGCAACTTTGGACTCAGAAACAGTGGGTACTTACTGTGACACAAAAGTGACTGCCTTTCCTGATCTCCCTGCTCTTGCCGTCCTGCCCACGCGGTGGATGTAGTCTTTGGAGTGGGTGGGGATGTCGAGGTTGATGACAACGTCCACATGAGGGATGTCCAGACCTCTGCAACAGAGTGACTCGGTGAGGGAATGTTGTGTTAGTCCACAGTCAGTAACCTTCCATGACAGCCCGTCAATATACTACAGACACACACACACCCGAGTAGTCTGCACAGACACACACACACCCAAGTAGTCTGCACAGACACACACACACCCAAGTAGTCTGCACAGACACAAAAACACCTGAGTAGTCTGCACAGACACACACACACCCGAGTAGTCTGCACAGACACAAAAACACCCGAGTAGTCTGCACAGACACACACACACCCGAGTAGTCTGCACAGACACACACACACCCGAGTAGTCTGCACAGACACACACACACACCCGAGTAGTCTGCACAGACACACACACACCCAAGTAGTCTTCACAGACACAAAAACACCTGAGTAGTCTGCACAGACACACACACACCCAAGTAGTCTGCACAGACACAAAAACACCCGAGTAGTCTGCACAGACACACACACACCCGAGTAGTCTGCACAGACACACACACACCTGAGTAGTCTGCACAGACACACACACACCCGAGTAGTCTGCACAGACACACACACACCCGAGTAGTCTGCACAGACACACACACATCCGAGTAGTCTGCACAGACACACACACACCCGAGTAGTCTGCACAGACACACACCCCCGAGGAGTCTGCACAGACACACACACACCGAGTAGTCTGCACACACACACGCACGCACGCACCACACGAGTAGTCTTCACAGACACAACGGAAGACTGACAAATGCAACTAAACTTATTTAGAAACCTCATAAGAAACACTATTTTTCTATCTAAAACATGCTGAGTTACAGGTGTCAGTAGAGGCGTGTATGAGATTTATGGAACTGATAGGGCTTACACATCTGCACTGAAGTCGATGAGTGTCCACAAATGTTCGGCTTGTACACTCACACTCATGTAACAAATTTATCATTACCATCAAGTGACATCACATCATGAATGAACACCGATTACGCAATTTGTATATGATGACATGCATCAACAAAGTCAACCTAGTGCTGGGGAACACTTCTAACTTGAAATCCCCATGGGGTTCAGACTGACTGGCTTCAGTTCGTTGGGAGTATATAGTCACTCACCTGCTGGCTACATCTGTAGCTATTAGGATGGATCGGTTCTTGCTCTTAAACTTGTTCAAGGCACCCAGTCTTTTTGTCTAGACAAATAAATACACAAACATATACCAAGATTTCATACTTCATTTTACGCTGTCTTGTGAGGTCAACCAGGAGTTGGACCATAAGGGCCATGAGGGACCATGGAGGACCATGAGGGACCATGAAGGACCATGAAGGACCATGAGGGATCATGAAGGACCATGAGGGACCATGAAGGATCATGAGGGACCATGAAGGGCCATGAGGGACCATGAAGGACCATGAGGGATCATGAGGGACCATGAGGGACCATGAGGGATCATGAGGGACCACGAGGGACCATGAGGGATCATGAGGGATCATGAGGGACCATAAGGGATCATGAGGGATCATGAGGGACCATAAGGGCCATGAGGGACCATTAGGGACCATGGACCATAAGGGCCATGAGAGACCATTAGGGACCATGGACCATAAGGGCCATGAGAGACCATGGACCATAAGGACCATGAAGGACCAGTAGGGACCATGGACCATAAGGACCATCAAATTGGTCACATTGAACATTATTGAACTTATGACATGTGTGTGTGTTGCTGCTTATACTCGTCAAGACTAAAACCTGTTCTGTCGTACAAGTCCACTGAGATTCCATGCCACAGTTTAACATAGACATGCAACTCAGGCACAGTATACTGACTCAAAGCCGACCAGTCCTTGTTTTGTCTCCTTGATGCCAAGCACCAGGCAGGGTAACAAAAAGGACCATCTTTTAACGTCTTTCGTTATGACACAGCCTAAGATAGAACCGTCAACCTTCCGCTGTCCAAGCAGATGCTCTATCACTAGACCACGGAGGTGATCGCCTGGACGATGAAGTTGCATCCCCTTAATATAATTCATAATGAAATACTGAGTTAAACAGGTTAGAAGTAGCCACTTTGTACAGCATATTGATCATGGCAAACAAATGAACCAAAAGTCCGACTTAACACAGAAAGTTATTTACCTGGGACATCTGGCCGTGCAGGGGGACAGCCGTCAGGCCGAGGTTACGCAACATGAGCGCTACTCTCTGGGTATTGGCACAGGTGCTGCAGAAGATGATGAAGGAGTTGCCGGCCAGCTCGTTGAGGATGTACACCAGATAGACATCCTGTATCATACAACACATCCAGACTAAACACATAACATTTGTTAGTGTTTCAACATCATACAGGCGTTACTTGGAAGTATCTGGGATACACACTAAGGGTCCTAGAAAGGCATTTTGGAAATTGTTTAAACTTTTTTTACAGTTCTTATTTTCCTCAATCAGGGTTTTTTTAACTTTAAATGTTAACCTTGCATTCAATGTTAAACTGAGCATAAGCCTCTTCCTCCATACAGGTCCTGTTATCAGTTACAGGCAAGTCTCCCTACATGGCCATAACATTAGTCATAAATATACCAGCATGAACTGGGAATGTTAAATTCCAATTTGGCTTCTAATCAGGTTTAGATAGTCCCTGACTTAGATAATGATGTATAATCCATTTAAACTAAAACAGGTATCTAATAACAATGATAACAGACATATATCGCAATGTGGCTGAAGTTGTTATTTTTTAAATCAGTTCAACATGTTCACAGACACAAATTTTGCCCCAAACCAAGAATATTTATTAGCTTAATATTTTAACCAAAGATCAAATAGCCATTTCCCACCTTATACTTGACTGGTAGAAAGATGTAGGATTGCTGAAGTTTCTCGACTGTCTGGTACTTTGTCGATACTTCCACCTTTACGGGGTTCCTCAGCGACGCCCTCTGTAGTTTCTGAACCTGGATAAAGGGAGACAACTGTCTTTGAACAAAGGTTTGATGTCGTAAAGCTTGTTCACAAACTCATGAGCCACTGTTTTCCATTAAGTAATAAGTGCCCTTTCCTTTCTTAGTTAGATAGCACTGTGGTTAAAGCCTTAGCTCGTCACGCCAAAGGCCCAGGTTTGATTCCCCACATGGGTACAATGTCTGAAACCCATTTCTGGGCTACGCCACTGGCCCTAAGAGTCACACATACATTCCTCTCAAGTCCTACCAACTTCCATGGGAGTGGTATTTAGAAGTTGGAAAAGTAAGTGATGCCAAGATAGTAGGGATGATCATCTTCATTAACACAATTGTAGCAACGTTTTGGTGTAGATTCTATGCTGAAGATAGTCATGATATGGTTGCAATATTGCCGATGTGACGTTAAATTTGGACTCATTCACCTAATGCTGAAGATTTGTATGGAGTATGGAATTACACAGTTTTTAGCAATATTCCAGCAATATCACAGCGGGGGACACCAGAAATAGGCTTCACACATTGTACCCATGTCGGGAATCAAACCTGGGTCTTCAGCATGCTTAAGATTAGAATGATCATGTGTAATAACTTTTGCGCATGTGTATTTTAGTGAATCTCAATACTGATTGGTCAGTTGAAGCCACAGTGCTTTATTGTAGAGAACAATATGACGCCATCCATTGTTCACAAATTGATAACATCACTGTATCTAAACAATAGTGAGTGTCTGAGTATGGTTTTACGCCGCTTTTAGCAATATTCCAGCAATATCACGGTGGGGGGACACAAGAAATGGGCTTCACACATTGTACCCACGCTGGGAATCGAACCCAGGTCTTCGGCGTCATGAGCGGATGCTTTAACCACTAGGCTACCCCACCGCCCCTCTATCTAAACAATAGGCTGCCTTCAGTGAGGTTTCTCTGTTGGGTTGACATTTAATACATTTTTTCTTCATTGTCTCCCTGCCAATGAGTAAAACATGGAACAACCAACGAGCTACAAGGAATTACGAATCCCAGATGAATGAATGCCTTGGCAAAGGCTCGGGACTGACAGCATTTATCCACTCAGGACAGACAATGCATCATTCCTCTTAGCTTGTTGGTTATTCTCTAAATCGTGCATAAAGACCAGTGATCTTGAAGATCCCTGTGTTGAGTGAACCCCACCTTCTTGGTCATTGTGGCGGAGTACAGGTAGGTGTTCCTCTCCCTTGGGATGACCTTGAGAATCTTGTCCACCTGGAACCAACAACATAGAGATCATGTATATAAGAAATACCCAACCAGTGGGAGTTGTTTATTGTACAACAAACAAACGACTGCCGGGAGAATAAACCATGAGAGGCGCAGATCATACAACAGTGACCACGAGTCGTATATTTCTAATACGAGATATCCACAATATGTACAGCCTCTTTCAGGATGTTAGTAAACAGACAAGACTTAAAAATATGTACCCATATTTAAATAGCCATGATTCCCTCAATACAATCTGACCTTGGCAAAGTCAGACAAGTCCATTTTATGAATGGGGGTGCAAAGTGTGAGTTTTCATGCTAATTATATGCACCTTTAACGTGATTAGAGATTGCCATATCTCGCCCACTTTCATATGCGATCGTTGTGTTTTCCAGCTACATCTACGGGGAAAACCTAACTAGACACTTCCCCCTCACAAATAACGTCGTCCAATCTACGATATCATGAAGTTGCGAGGGCATTTTCGAATCTCCAGAAATGATGTCTTGATAGAATAATGCTTTTTTGTGAAATATACCATGCTTCGTTCTTAATTGCTTTTTCGGATTTATCGCGTAGCTAATTCATATTTGCTATTAAAAAATGAGGCAGTTGCGAGCATAGCAGGAAAAACAAGAAACATTACGATACAGTACACTACTGCTACAAGAAGATCCTCATGACCAGGGGAAATACTTGATTCATGATTTATACAAATGTAGGTCACATAATCGCGTCGCCACATTATTGATAGAATGAGGCAATACATACTAGGTAGACCACAATACAAATACGCCTGGAGAGTGTTTAAAAACAAAATCAGGAACACTAGAGAGGCTCAGGCCAGAGTCAACTTAATGTTTGCTATGAAGTACCTTGCTTATTCACATGGCAACCTACTCTAAACATAAGACTCACCCCATGACAATTCACTAAGTGAGAAATAACACCACACACAGATACATAGAGCTGTGACCAGTAGATTTGTCCAAGCTTTACTTAACATGTGAAAATCCACACAGCACATTCAGTTTCAATTTAGTGCCATCAGTCTGTAGGTACAACAGCTTCATAGTGACGACACAGTATGTTTATCTCCTAAACATGCTAAATGAGATATTGACTATAGTGACACCTCAACAGTCTGGACCTCGACTGTCTGGAAACCCTGACCTCCAAATGCTTTCTGCTGGAAACAGTTCTATACCCTTAATTTGTTTTTCCAGGAAACTCCATTTGGAAATGTACCATCTGACAAACATGGATTCACAGCGTGTTGTTTTCTTTACAGTTACAACTGAAGAGGGGAAGACGTTTTACCAGTGGTGCTGTCACTGAAATTATTTTAGGTGATGTTTATTATTTTTTTCAAAATCCTGAAGAGCTGACTTTGTAATGTTCATCATGCAAATAACATGCATAGCTGCTGCCAACATTCTAGGGTAGGGAGCAGTGTGGGTGGCCGATACGTTCTGAGCCTAACTATGAGAGACTGCGTTGATGGAGTTGGTTGTTACCCTCTGAGGACCACACACTACTGCTGCCAACATTCTAGGGTAGGGAGCAGTGTGGGTGGCCGATACGTTCTGAGCCTAACTATGAGAGACTGCGTTGATGGAGTTGGTTGGTACCCTCTGAGGACCACACACGACTGCTGACAATGCTGGAGTGCCTGGACCTCACTGGTGTGGAAGGCTTCCTCCTGGTGGTGTCAAACATTCACAGCAGACGTGACGTCATCATCATTTGCATAATACTTGCCAGACAGTTCTTCACATTTGGGAAGAGTTGGAAATCGGATGGTGTGAAATCTTGTGAATGTGGAGGATATTCAAGATCAAAGCCACGTCATGCATTGCAGTCATGGTGACACTCTCCTGATGAAACAACGCACCTATAGTGAGTTTTCCTGGATGTTTAGCCTTGATATTCTCACACAGTTGCCTGAGCAGAATCACATAATATTGGCTATTAATGGTCTGACCTATTGGGAGGCAGTCCACAGAAGGATTCCTTTGGAATCCCAGAAATGCCAAGCCATTACCTTGCCAGTTGATGGAGCAGACTTTGCCTCCTTTTGAGGAGTTGACGTTAGATGTTTCCACTGTTTTGACAGTTGTGTAGTCTCTGGCTGATAGTGGTGGGCCCAAGACTCATCCATGGTTACAAATCACTCAACAAAATCAGCTGGGTCTTCTTCAAAACAATGCAAATTCTCACGAGAAATGATCAACCTGGAATGTTTCCAATCTGGAGTCCGAGTGCCAAACCTTTGTCATCCCCAGTTCATTCCTCCGAATTTCCTCAACTCTCTAATGAGAGATGCCTTCTGTATGTGGTGAGTTGTCAATCATCCATAATCATGTCATGTATTTTATCAATGAGGCTCTCTCTTCTCCTCTTGAACTCTGCTCACCACCTCCTAACAGTGACAAAGGAACAAGCATCATCCCCTAAAGCTGAAACCATGACCGCATGGATAGCTGTTGGAGTTAGCCCTTTCAGTTGGAGATACTTCATGACAGCACATCGGCCAATTTCGTCCATTTTCATCAAGAGAGAATACCCAGTCACATTAATGCCTGCAGGAATGTGCTGCCTCACTGTGTTTGGTTCAAATGCAGTATGTCAGCAAGGACAGTATTCTACTTAATACATACAAACTGTTAAGAATGCACTATACATCCTTCGTAGCTGGGCTCAGAATTGTTCAGCTACCCCTCATATCACTCAGTACAGTGCTTCAGGACCTACCTCCTGCTCAAAATCCATGTTGAGAATCCGGTCTGCCTCATCCATCACCTGCAACAAGACACAAGTGGGAATCAATAGAGAAGGTGTACAAACAGTGACAGTGTTTTACACGATTTAGGAAATGGATGCAGAAAATATGTATGCTGGCTATTTTCAGTCAGTTTTGTATGCACAACTCTTAAATGATCAAAGTATAATACAAAGTTCATGTCAAATAAAGCGGAAGCGTGATTTGTTTTGTTTGTTGTTTAATGTCGCTCTCAGCAATATTCCAGCTACAACATAGCGGTCTGTAAATAATCAAGTCTGGACCAGACAATTTAATGATTGATATCATGAGCATCGATCCACACAATCGGGATACAATGATATGCATCAACCAAGTCAGTGAGCCTGACCACCCGATCACGTTTTGCACCTCCTACGACAAGAAAGGTTGCCTTTTACGGCAAGCATGAATGTGTTCGTGTCTTGGGGACATGTAACATGTTCGAAATGCCTGGTCAGCGCAAATTGCATTTCTTTTTCGGGGGAGGGTAACCTGGCCCATATCTTTTTTATCCATATCTTTTTTTATTCCAGTAATATCATGGCAAGGGTGGAAACTGGACTTTTACAGTCAGTTAACTACCTTACCTCAGGAAGATGTACTACAATGACATATGAACAGTAAAGTCATGGGCTGACAACCTGGTCCCCATGTTAGACACCTCTGGGGACAAGCATGACCCAGACCTCAAAGTTGCGACTAAAACAGTCTCCAATGCGACCTAAATTTTAATTTGTCTACTGACTAAAATTCAGAGGTCGTCAAATGGCTACCTTGAAAAATATCTTGTGGTGACTAAATTCTATTGCTTCACATACATAGACACAAACATATATAATTTGATTGACATTTGCAATGCCATTTTCTAGTTCGCCAGTGTTTTCACGGTCGCAATGGAACGCGTTTACTGTACTCATCGTCTGTTTCATTAACATTCCCACAGATCAATGCAGCATTACGGGGGATTCAGTTACATAAACTCTTTCAACACAGTCGGACGGGTCAAGATAGTATGTATAATTTAATCATGCATTTTTCCTATCATGCATTTATAAAATCTATCACATTATCACAATGTCTAAATATGCCTTCCATTTCAGTTTATAATTTTTTATCAATAATTTAAAAAAAATATCCTCTATTTCCAGCAATGTTATTGAAAATATAATTCTCGGTCACACACTTCGACAACATGTCCACATCGAACATGTCAAAGAGCAAAATAAAGACGTTTCAAGCAAATCTTTAAATATATTATACAAAGTAATAAAACTATTAATAAAAATATTACTAAAAATTGTCAAACTTACATCTAAGTTATTATTTCCATGCAATCGCGTGTAATGTAAGTCAAATGACATCGTCGTCTCGATTTCTCAGCTCGGACACGATGTTTAATGCCAAAATATATGCATGCTGTCACAGCTCGTGACCTAACATGATACACCGTGAAGTTCCATATTTTTAATACAGATTGCAATTTCCTGCCTAAAAACATTAGGAATAACAAGATTTAAAACATTTTTTTGGTCAAAATCTGAAATTCATGACACACGCGGACAGTAACATAGCTGTAATTTAATTGGCTGCCTTAGGTCACATGCTCAAATTTAACCAATCACGAACCTTGTAGCAGATTTCTGCAAGAAAGAGTCATTAGAAACCAATTTTTATCAATAACAAGCAGATGAAAAAACAAACTTTCTAGCGGTGTGTCATATGACAGTCTTCGACGAACGTGTTATTCATACGAAAACGGAGGTATTTCTTCATGTTTATTGCATAATGAAACTGTAACACCATTTACAATACCGGTATTCGCTTTCAATGTCTTTTCACTTTCAATATATTCAGTTACGATCTAAACACACATTGTCGAAGACCTATAGAAATCTGTTAATGGCAGATTGTTATACTATTTTATTTTAGTTGACAATGCTCATTGGATAAGCAAGGATATACCTACGTCATCTAGTAAAATAAATTGCATCATTGTTCGAGTCACAAATAACACAAATAACAAAAATCAAGTACAGTTTCCACTAATATACAATTTCAAGCCTAGTGCTATGACTTGTACACATATCATAATAGTTATCTGATAAAAGATAATTTAAAATTTGTTTGGCTACCTAAAATCTTGGCTTGTTCTGTTGATTTTACAAGTGGCTACCTTGAAAAAAGTACTTGTAGCCATATGGCTACTAGTTAAAGAATTAAACTTATAGGCCTGATGACCGACCACCTGTTCCCCATGTTAGACACCTCTAGGGACAAGCGTGACAACCTGGAGACGTACCAGGAAATTATATGTAACTGTGGCGTTAAACAAAAAACAAACAAACATGTAACAACATAAAAAACTTTCCAAAGCCAGATTTCATGGTAAGGAACAGCTGCTACATTTACAGTCAAACTTGCTGTAGCGACCCTACACAGCAGACTACAGGCACACACTCACCAGAAATTTCAGATTACGCAGATTGAAGCCCTTTGTGTTTTCTAGATGGTCGACCAGTCGCCCTGGGGTGGCTGAAAGCGACAACAGCATATTGATCATCGTGAACAGTCAGCAAAACCACTATTTCAAAACTATCTATACTGATGACATGCATAACGTATTCGACGTAAAAAGCGCCCACGGCGATATTTGTTAATATATTGGCTAGTGAACAATCCCAATTAGCACCCCTTCCGATTGATCCATGTACATAAGACTTATTTATTCGCGTATAATACGCACTTGTGTGTTATATGCATCCTTAATTATGGGCAATTAAATTCTGGAAAAATATATCTGTCGTATATAAACATTTCAGGCTGTCACCAAAAAAACATTCTAATAAGAGCCCCCTATTTCTAATTTTGAGAGCGTCAAATACGGTATGTCTTTTTGAATATATATCATTAGTCATGTTGAAAATATTTATTATAACTTTTCCTCTGAGGAGTTTTTTGAAAATCTAACCAATATAGCTTCTCCCTCAGTGTAGGTTCCATTGGTACAAACATTTTGGTTTGTATGAAAGTACAGAATTGAACATCACTGAGTTAAAGTTGTCACAATGTGAATGAGGACGTTTTAAGCCACTTTCAGCACATTCAGCTATATTTCAGTTCACATTACCGTATATGACCGCGGATAAGCCGACCCCGTAGATAAGCCGAGGTGTTAACTTGACCATTGAAATACGAAAGAAAATGGTATGACCCGCAGATAAGCCGAACCAGGAATTGAAAGGCAAAAAACACTGCGAAGTCGGACTGCAAGACATGTGCCGGTACTCGCAGATATTCAAAAATATAAGATGAAAAACGTTGTAATTATATTGAAAAAGTCATTATTATTTCTAATAAAGATTTAACAAACCAGTCATCCACTTTCATAATGTGGGAAGCTGTTTCTCGTGGTTTTTTTTAATCTCATAATGATCGTTATATGTTGCCATCAACAACGAAGCGCCATTTTGTGAATCGGTGTATATAGAATTATGAACCCGTGAGAAAATATATCGGCTAGAGCGAAGACTCGCAGTTTGAATTCAGCATCGTAAGCATGGCGTTTTCGTTTCAAACTCATGATGAGAATGTCCAATGTCAGTAAAAATATACCAACTTTTATAACCCCCTTTACACCACTATTGTATGTTAATCCAATTGAATTAAATAAACTATCATACTATGAACACATTGAATGACCATCACTTACTCACAGGCTTCTCCAGTTTATTAAACTACAATATTACAATATGTCAGTAACAATAATGCACCATTCTGAATTTCTGTTGTAAACAGTTACATTAACTATAGAATGGAAGCACAAAACTAAATTAGTGTCGAAAGACAATTTTTTCTTATTAGGATTGACTTTGGCTCATGTTATAGTGATCATGGTAGTAAGGGAATTGTTAAGATTTCAATGTTATGGACCTCAAACATGCAAAATAACTTCATCATGTTCATGCAACTTAAAATTTGACCCATCTAACATGTCCATGATGTAGAATTCAATTTTTACACATCAAAGTTTGACAGTGGTGTCTGTCTGTATTACGAAGATGAGAGAGCAGTTCTTACCAATTATAACATGTGGTTTCTTCGCTAACACCAGTGCTTGTGTCATCATGTCGATACCGCCGACCACCACAGCTGCAATGAATAACAGCACCTGTCAGCATGACATGCATCTAGCCCAGCACCATCTTCTTCTAACTGAATGTTCTTCAAGATTTCTTCAAGATGTAGTACAATTTGTTTCTTTGTTTGTTGTTTAACGCAGCACTCAGAAATATTCCAGCCATATGGCAGCAGTCTGTAAATAATCGAGTCCGGACCAGACAATCCAGTGATTGACATCCAGTCATTGAGCATTGATCCACGCAATTGGGATATGATGACATGCATCAACCAAGTCAGCGAGCCTGACCACCCGATCCAGTTAGTCGCCTCTTATGACAAGCATAGTCGCCTTTTACGGCAGATATCTGATTGGCTGAAAATACATGCATCATTTGGTTTGATATGCATTTCAATCAGGGTTCACCTGGTACAACCTACAATGGTGGGGGTTGTCAGATGCGGAGACAAGTACTGAGTAAGAGCTAAAGATCCCATCACCGGTAATGAGACTGGCATCATGCACATTCTAAACATGTCACGCAGCAAACATTCAAAGTTCTAGTTTCATGTTTCAGTGTTCTTCAGTGGCCTTTAACATCCAACATAGAAACAAAGCAGCTACAGTTTTGTGTATTATCACTGTATAGTAGAAAAGTGCTGTTCCCTTGTTCCATCTACTTCCAACATTCTCCTCCCACTTGAAAATATCCACGTTAGAATAGGCCTCCAGCATCCCATGCTTGCCGTAAGAGGCTACTAACGAGATCTGGTGCTCAGGCTCACTAACTTGGTTAATGCATGTCATTGTATCCAAATTGCATAGATCAACACTCATGTCAATCACATGATTGTCTGATCCAGACTTGATTATTTACAATTTGTAGAATTTTCCTATTCGGAATATTCTATAAGTAATACGTTACCACTGTTATACCGAGGCTGTTGTCTCCCACAACTGCTGCTATAGCGAAATCTACCACAGAGATCTCAATTACCTCATGCAGCACGTGCGTAGCCACCTAGCTGCCATGTGACACCCTTCACTCTTGTCTCCTGCAAGAGCAAGTGCTCGGGGGACGGACGGGCGGGCAGCAGCCCAGTGGTAACGTATTACTTATAGAATATTCCGAATAGGAAAATTCTACAAATTACATTAAGTAATACGTTACCACTGTTATACCGAGGCTGACTACCACAGTAGGCGGTGGGGAGCACCTACAACCCGAATCCTGACTGCTAGCGTTCCTTCCGACCAGCGGAAGTAAACACCAAGGCGGAAGCACTCGATGTGCATGCACCTAGCTAGGCGTTACCCTATAGGAATACCAAAGCACTGTCAAGCGCATACCGTAAGGCTCAATCGTCATTGCCAAAACGATTGGTGACTCCAAACGGCCCCACTGGATAGGTATTTCATCGCCGCAGCGGATGAGAACACTGTATCCGCGTGAGCTTAATCTTAGATCAGGTTAAACAGTCGAAAAGAGGGAAATTAATTTCATTCAGACCGTATATCCCAGAGCAAGCCTACTTAAAGTATGCATTAGGCGCGTGACCTAATTCCAGTATTTGTAAGCATGCATCACAAGGTTGGGATACACGACAGACAATTAAAGACATAATTGTCAAAATACAAATAAGGACAAAGCACACAAAAAGCCGCCCTCACCTGTGGTGTGAGTGCGCTGGTTTGCGGGACCCCAACTCCTGTACCCACGGCAGTGGGAACATTGGAGTCGACCCAGATTGACCACCGTGCAAGGTCAGACGCCTGAGGAGTTCGGAATTGCGCTGGGCACACCCCTTAGGTGCCCGCTTGCGCCGCGATCCGCGGGCCAAGACGGTGCACACTCTCCACGACGGCATCAGCGACCTGTTTGAGGTAATGATTGGCAAAAACCGAGTCAGAACGCCAGTAACAACCTCGTAATATTCTGCGAACAGAGATATTCGAGTGTAGGGCAAATGTTGCCGCTAGCGCCCTGATCTCGTGCGGGTTTGACCCCGCTACCGGTAACCCCCGAGACCGGTACGCCAGATTGATGACAGAACGAAGCCACAACGCAATCGAGTTGCGAGTTATGTCAACCGTGCGATTAGGGTTACACGATATGAACAGACGGTCACGCCCTTGTCTACGTTCATTCGAAGCCTTAAGATAATACTTAAGGGCCCTAACCGGACACAGCGCTCTGTCCTCAGTATCAGCAGGATGTAAGATTTCTTTGAGTGATCTTACAGTGAATTCTCTCTCCGTTTGCCCGACTCTCTGATTCTTGGCGACGAAGCCCATGAGCAGGCTCAGGCGGACCGCTCCTTCGTCACCCCTATCGAATCGTACCTTGGCGACATCGAGTGCATGAATTTCGGATACACGTGCCGCCGTGGCAAAGGAGAGGAGAAATGCTGTTTTCCAAGTCACATGCCGGAACAAGCACTATGCAAGGGTTCATACGGAGCTTCCGTAAGTGATTGCAACACTAGGGAAAGATCCCAGGCCGGTGCCCGAAGGCGGCCCTTCTTAAGATCGTGCTGTTTGAAACCCTTGATAATACCCCGTATCACCGGCTCTTTGGAGAGACTGGTACCCATAGCAACGTCCCGTACCGTAGCAACGGACGAGACATAGTTGGCAATGGAACCCCCGGAGAGTTTCCGGGTCTCTCGCAAGTGAGACATGAAACGAGCAATATCCTGCACAGATACCTTATCTGGCGAATGAATGTGATGTTTACAACACCACTTCGTGAAAATAACCCAACGTGCATTATACACCTTCTGGGTAGAATCACGATGCATACTAACGTATGCCCGAGACGCCCGGCGAGAAAAAACTTTACTCCTCAGACGCTCGGTGACAACATCCACGCGTGCAGATTGAACTGCCCTGCGTTTGGATGAATTTGACGGGTGTGAGGGTGGATCAAGAGATCCGGTCTCACAGGCAGTGGAAGTGGCGACTGCGTGACCTGGGTCAGCAAGTCGGGGTACCACGATCTGTTCGGCCACATGGGCGCGATCAGTAACATTCGACAGCGAACACCTCGGAGCCGGCTTAGAATGTGTGGTATCAACGCTGTCAGCGGGTAAGCATAAGCGACCAAGCCCGTCCAGTCTAACGCGAGAGCATCGTGATCGATGGCCCTCGGGTCCGGGACTGGTGATACAAACAACGGGAGTTGATTGTTGAACCGCGTTGCGAACAGGTCGACCATCGGACGACCCAAACGTTCGCACAGCCACTGAAACACTACTGGGTTCAGCATCCACTCTGTGGGGCTCGGATCCTGAGGCCTCGATAGAGCATCGGCCAGTACGTTCCGCACACCTGGGATGTGACGGGCGCGTATCTGGCACGGGACACTGTCCACCAGAGCGTAAAACTCGAACGTGAGATCGAGTAGCGAGTGACTGTGGGTTCCCCCCAGTTTGTTCACATAGGACACTACCGTCGTGTTGTCGGTCGCCAGCATGAGCCGGGCGTCGACGAGACGATGCTTCCAGTGATTGACTGCGTTGATCACTGCCTTGAACTCGAGACAAGTGATGTGAAGACCTAGTTCGTCTACGCACCACAGCCCCGAGCTCACCTCCCCCTTTAGATGGGCGCCCCAGCCCACTAGAGAGGCGTCTGTATACAGGGTCAACGTGGCCCGGTAGGGCCGCATAGAGACTCCTGATAAGACAATGTAAGGGACCGTCCACCACTCCAGATGCGGTCGGAGCCGATCCGGGAGGGCGACGGTCGCACTGTTCACCTCCGTTGCTAACAACTGGATTAAAAACCGTTGCAGCGGGCGGAGTTGGAGACGACCCCGTGCGGTGCAGTCCTGGGCTGATACAAGTAGCCCTAACAGCTGTTCCCAAAAGTGAACAGACTGTTGCACCGCTAAGACTTTGGCAATCATCGCCTGAATTTTGTGCCACCGGTCTGGGGGGACAAAGAGGCGATGGGACACCGTGTTGAACCGACCTCCGATGAACAGCAAGTTCTGAGAAGGGGTTAACTCGCTCTTGGGGAGATTGATAATCCACCCAATTTGCTCCAAGAGTGAGTGAGTTGGTTTTTACGCCGTTTTTAACAGTATTCCAGTTATATCACGGCGTGTCAGCTTAATGTGGGAGGAAAGCCCGAAGTGATGCAGGTCCCAGATGCTCCAAGAGCCGACGTGCGAAATCGAGATGGCGTGACAGGGTGTCCGTCATTCGATTTGCTACTAGCGAGTCGTCCAGGTACGCGAAGTACCGGACACCCCTCCTGTGGAGGAACCCCACTATGGGGGTGGTTAACCGGGTGAACAGCCAGGGAGCGGACGTGTGAATCATTCTGAGTTCGGCACTGTCCTACTTGGGAACGAGAAATATCCTGGAGGAAAACCCCGGTGTTATTTCTGGTAGAGCTAACTCCCGTACTGCCCCTTCTCCACCAACCTGCCGATGGCATCGGCGAGGATGGGAAGATCGGTTTCCGAATCGAAACCTGCCAACAGGGCAACGGTGAGCGGCGGATTCGCTTTGAGATCAAGCCAAGAGCCGTACCGAATCGTGTTGACCACCCACGGGTCGTCGAACACTTGTTCCCAATTCTCCCAGTAAGTCTGGAGTCTGGCTCCCACTGGGGAAGGAGAGGGGGCCCTGACAGGTTGCGGCAGGCGCAACTGTCCAGGGCCAAGTGACTCGGGTTCGCCTAAGGGCCAACCGAAGTTGGCGCTGTCGGCATACGAACCCCTCCAATGAGAGTCACCTGGAGGGGCCCTTGCCGTCCGTCGACGACTTGGGCTTCCCCCAGTTCCCCGTCTTCCCGCGAAAGGGCAGCTGATTGCCCATACCGGAGCCCTCAGGGCGGGGCTACTTCCCAGAGGAAGAAGAACCCAACCCCTTAGACCTACAGGCCGCAGCAGCCTGGGGCGCGCTCCGGTTAGGAGCGGCACCCAGGCGCCTATGCAGGGACCCAACAAGAGCAAGTGTGTGCCGAGAGTCCTCGGCAACGAACTCCAGGGAAGCATTTAAACTGAGCAGGCAGTTGTAAATGCGCTGGTCACGGTCCGTGGGAGAACCTTCGACCAGACGGGCCGCTGCAGCCAAGTAAGTGTCTCCGTGAGACAAGGAGTGCCGAGCGAGGGCGTCCAGCTGGTGCAAGGTAGCTTGCGTTACCGTAGCAGCCGGTGGGGCACGGACACCCAACCGCTCAACATGGGCCTCCGCGGTAGGACCAGCCTCGGGAAAGGCAAGGTCATGTACCGGGAATAAACCCTTTCTCCACGACGTCGGAGGCAACGGGAGACCCCGACCGGAGGCCGCCGCGAAGGCGTTCTCCAAGGAAGGCTTGAAACCGTGCAGCAAGGTCGATGCGGGGAAAGCCGTGTCGGAAGACTCATCGTATACCTCGGAGGAACCCACAGTCGTGGATTCCCCGCGGTACCGGCCGGGGCATGTCCTCAAAGAGGTCATAAACCATGGCCACGTGGTCCTAAACCGATAGCGGGAGCAACGGTTCAGGGGAAGGACCGGTGACCACGGGAGCCGCCGCCGTACCGGTGGACCCCGCGGCCACCGAAGTGGCCGGGGACGGAACAGCCAGCGGCCTATCCTGATAAGGCCGCCAGCTTGGAGTCCACAAGTTATGCAAGTAATGCAGCGACGGAATCCCCGGACAGCACACGGGCCGCCAAGAGATCCGCCGCTTTACCGGTGGACCCCGCGGCCACCGAAGAGGCCGGGGACGGAACAGCCAGCGGCCTATCTTGCGATAAGGCCGCCAGCTTGGAGTCCACAAGTTTCGACAACAATGCGGCGACGGAATCCCCAGACAGCCCGAGGGCCGCAAGGGGATCCGCCGCAGCCGAGGAGGTGGTACCCGCACGGGGACCCCGACCGGACGAACCGGCCACCACAGGGGTGGAGACGGACTGTACGTACAGCCGGTACCACTCAAACTCCGCAGGCCCCAGACCTTCGCACAGGATGCACCGGGTGTCCCCGCAAGGAACCCTGCACCGCGGGCAATGATCGTGGGGATCCCGGGACGACAAAAACTTTCTGCACACCCCACAACTCCGAGGAGCAGGGGTAGAGGGGGTGGATACTGGGGACATATCCATGTCAGACATTGATTGTTTGCTATAAACAAAGAACAAAACATGGTTACAACGCATGCACCACAATGATTCACAAACGAACATTTTCACAAGAAAATAAACGAGCAATGTGAACATATAACATACACATATAACTTTTATTAAAGAAATAAGTTATGTTAACCCCCAAAACATACAAGAACAGGGGAAACGTAAAACACAACGTGCATACGGGAACCCCGCAAGTATATAGAAAAAAGGGCGGGAAAAATTTTTCGTTTGGCGGGAAAATTATTACCAAGCGTAGCTACCGCAACGACCCATAAAAGCACAGTTTATTAGAGAATAAACTATAATAAATATCACCAAATCTTCAAGGAACGCTTCAGCAGGAGAAAACACGTCTTGCTAAGCAGACAAGAGTGAAGGGTGTCACATGGCAGCTAGGTGGCTACGCACGTGCTGCATGAGGTAATTGAGATCTCTGTGGTAGATTTCGCTATAGCAGCAGTTGTGGGAGACAACAGCCTCGGTATAACAGTGGTAACGTATTACTTAATGTAATTTGTTGTCATGCAGATGGAATATTGCTGAGTGGGCCATCAAACTACAACAGTCAGTTGGGGAGGTCAGGAAAGGCAGTTACTTTTGTGTCACAGTTAGTACACAATGTTTCTGAATCCAAAGCAGCTGAACTTTGCTGAGTGGGCCAAAAAAAACCGTCAGTTTTATTCCTGTGCTGTCCTCTGGCTGGAATTGTGGTGAGTGTGGCGTTCAACAATAAACAACGAAACTCTACATACCAGTTTTGACGCCAATGCTCGCCCCGAGAGCTTCAAACTGCTCGGAGATCTGGAATGCCAGTTCCCTGGTGGGAGTCAGAACAAGGGCGAACATTCTCTGGGGCGTGTCCAGGAGAGCCTGGAGGATGGGCAGGGCGAACGAGCCTGTTTTACCAGACCCTGTCTCAGCCAAGCCTATCACATCTTTACCTGGAAATACAAAGAGGAAAATCAACACTGATCAACATGATCAATCCTTGCTCTCATTGTTAACATGTTCTCATAGAGCCCCATATAACTTTTTAAGCAATTGAGGTTTTACTCGAGGTTTCTATTTTAATTGGGTTATTACATGTTTCATTGGGTAACCAATATTTTTTCACTTATCTATTCATCACCCTTATGGATTTTTCCAAAAATGAGTAAAGATTTTGAGATTTTAAATGAAATGTTTTAGATGTAACGGTATATAATGGTTCTAAATATAGGCTCAACTCAGAAAGTAAACTCGTAATTGTGTTTCGGAAATTAGCTCCGTAGTATGCATGCTGAAAAAACTTTGTTGGGTTTTTATGCGAGCTGAACAACCTTTCATCTGACCAATCAGCATGATCAGAGCGTTGCTTACCAGACCGAGGAAGTAAATGTTTGACTCAGAATGTGTTTTCTAATCATGCATCCCCCAAATGGTTAACATGGGGTATTCCAAACGATAGATGGGATAAATATTTGAAGTGGAACAGACTTTCCATAGCCCTAGGGAAGTACTGCCATACAATTTCATCCATCTATTAGACATGTCAGAATTTTGACCAGATTTTAATGAGACTGAAAATGAACACACTTGACGTTGGATTTGACTTGATGATTATGTTGATATAAGTTATTATGTGTGAGTAAAGGCTGAATGGCCAGTATGAAGATGGATCTGGGATTTTTAAATCATGCATGAAATTCTCAATGTGTTTGTTGGGCAATATTTTTTGCATATTTTACGTTTCCTGATATGATATCCTAAAGATTTCTTTCGCCGGCCTGAATGAGCTCATTAACATGCTGTGATCACGGATGCAGAAACCTCTCTAACGGAATAAGCAGGATATGACAAGCAGGGACGAGGGTTATCATTTATTGTTTGCAACAAAGCTTCAGAATGGGGGATGTACTGGCCCTTTAATGCCTCTATGATAAGCGTTCCAATCACATTGTGTGATCCAGCTTGATCATGATGATGTTGGAGGAAAGACACTGATGCAGTTGTTGAAAGTTTGTCACTTCTCGTGAAACTAATGAGCATGGGTATGATACATGATATAGGCAAATTTGGAATTCAAACCCAGGATCATAGGTTTCTGGCACACCCAAGGGATGCAACTCTGCAAACAGAGGTGCAGGGCTAGTGCCTTAGATCACTAGGTCACTTGTTTCTCTCACTGATTGCAGTGCTAGTGCCTTAGATCACTAGGTCACTTGTTTCTCTCATTGATTGCAGTGCTAGTGCCTTAGATCACTAGGTCACTTGTTTCTCTCATTGATTGCAGTGCTAGTGCCTTAGATCACTAGGTCACTTGTTTCTCTCATTGATACTGATAACCAACATGTACAAGGAACAAAGAAGTAACATGTAGTTTCACAGAAAAAAACCACTTTAAACAGAGAACTATTGTATTTTGTTCTAGAACTCCAACCCTTGAAGGAGCTCTAGTCAGTGTGAGATTTAATCATGGTAACTATGTTAACCTGAAAGTCTCAAATTATTTATATTCAAAACTGAAATTAATAAGACTGTTGTACCATCCAAGGCAATAGGGAGTGATTCCTTCTGTATTTGTGTTGGGACTTTCCACTTCAGTTGCTCACATGCCTCACAAAGTACATCCACAATGCCCTGCAAGCAATAATCACAATGACAACAATTGATAGCCGATGCTCACATCACAGAGATCCAATAGCAAAATGTACTTAACTGCATTTTAGTAATATCTAAATAAAAAATCTAATTTGTTTGTTGTTTTATGCCACTCAGCAAACTTCCAGCTACATGATGGCAGTCAGTATATAAGGGTTATAGCGAAAACGGCACCTCAGCAAAACGTCACCGGGCGAAAACGGCACCGATTGGCGAAAACGGCACCTCGACTCAAGCGAAAACGGCACCTCGACTCGAGCGAAAACGGCACCTTATTTATTTTTTACCTTGGTCAAATAAATGATATTAAACTTACATTGTAACTTGCAAAGGCCAATAATTGTGAGATGTTAAAACAAGTTTACATTAGAAATTAGCCTCTGCTCCAACTATAATCCAACTAAGCTAAACTTATTGTGAAAACACTATACGCTTTGAAGTTTTAAGTACCTTTACTCAATTAAAACTGAAACTGTATTTAAGAGGCCTAACATGGGGCTGTCAGTTCACAATTATTCACAAAGGCCTTTCGATGTGTTGCATGCGAGACGAATGTCAGAAAAAATCAACATGCTGTATCCTTTGATAACTGTGACCAGTGGACCCATTGTGTATGTGGAACGGAATTTCTGTGGCCCGTTAAAGAGAAATTTGCCGGACTGAAGAAGACTTCCCTTTCCGCTGTGTGAAATGCGTTGCTCCCTTCATTGAAGAGGTGATCGGTAACTTTGATGTCAGTTTCCATTCAGAAGGCGCTGAAGAAATGAGAGTACCAAACCTATCGGAAATTCACATTACGGCTTCAGATGTACTCTATACATCAAATACCATGTAAATAAACCATGTATATTACCACAAAGATCGTTGTTATCGTTATTAAAAATAGAGGTGCCGTTTTCGCCCGACACATAGTAGCCGTTTTCGCCAAATGCGGTGCCGTTTTCGCCAGAGAAATCGGTGACGTTATGCTGAGGTGCCGTTTTAGCCTGCACCCGTATATAATAGAGTCTGGATCAGACAATCTGGTGATTGACATGATCATCGATCCAAACAATTGGTATGTGATGACACACAATCAACCAAGTCACTGAGCCTGACCATCGGTGATCTTTCAAACCATCAGTCGGCTCTTACGATAAATGATAATGGTAACATGTATTCAAAAACTTGCCATTGATAATTATGACTGTGTTGTTTAGAAAATCAAAAGACACCCGTAATGCACATCCACCAAAAATACACGCAATAAATGAGTATATTTACACCTGAGACATCATCAACATAACTTTATTAAAAAATCTATATTGTTATGTTTTTTTTCTAAACAGAATGATCTAGGCATAGTCGGGCCCGGGAAGGAGAATCCATGTTATTCACGTTAATATTCATTCCTACAAAGTATGGAATCTCGTTTGTCAAAACAAGCTGGGTTCTACATATCATTACAAAGTACATGCTCAACTAAGCACGCTAAAAGGCACCAAATCAAGGAATTCAAAGTACACATACAAGTGACTTGAATGTAACAGGTGTTTCTTCGGCATCCTCTTCAACATTTGATGAAGCGATCGCTTCCTCTTCTTCCATGTTTTGTTTAGGATTTCAACGATGACCACACGTGCGAGCTTCCAGGCGGAAGTGGATTATCTTTCCTGGGTTTGTTGAAATGAAAGAATCCGAAAAACGTTTAATACGAATAGTAAATTCTTTAAAAAATGGATATTTTCTTTTAAGTACTGTTTTCCTAACCATAACATAAGCGTAAGTACAATAAGAAAACTAAACATAATTATATTAAATAATTGTCGTATTACCATAGATTTTTAGTCGTATGAGGTTCGTACGGATACTTGTTATTGATTCCATTCCCAATCCACAATTCTGTATTCCCTCTTACAAAATGGCGAAGCATCATCCAGATTTGATTTTCTGTCGAAAGCAGCCGGGCGTTGGTTTGTAAATTTGTGTTTATTCGGGGTGTTTTTATGTTCCTTGCAGCCAGGTTTGTCCGGTCAAATGTTTTAAAGCCATGATAGAGATGGTTAGAGATAACAGATGGACACAGAGGATAATATTTTGATCGGATCATGGTAAACAGGTAACAGACGTAGTGAAAACGTTTCTTGTGTGGACCTTTATCCTCATTCAGTCACTGATCCAGGGAGGACTGTCAGACTTTGTCACTCATCAAGTGCTGGTGTAAGAGTGTTGTGTATTGAGCCTGTTATCACATACCATGAGGCTAAAATATTACTGGTGGAAGGTTTAACATTTGTAGACGCACAACTGCTGATGGCATGGCTGACTGTTTTTCATAATTTGTTCTTTCATCATGTTTATGTCCCCAACATTGGTCGGATAGTTCAGAAAGTGGTTAACAATGTTCGTTTGTTAGTTATTGGGGGTCTAGCTGCAGTAACTGTACCTCTATGCTGCTCCCTGATAAACGATTTTGATATTGTTTGTCGCTACACAGAGCTATGGGCTGTCCCGAAGTGATTTCTTAATAGATTCCTGATCCAAATCTGCATCACCCTTTATATGCTTCAGCCAAGTGCATGATTCCAAGGCTGTAGGTTAACTTGTAATCTTACCAAATTGTAGCCATCATGGAGAATTCATAGCCACTCCCTACTCGCAGACAAAATTCACGGTGAACTAGTGGTCAAAACAAATACAGTGGAGAAGTAGGACTGTATAATGATTTATTACATATAATTATAGAATTATTATGTGACAAAAGTTATTTCAAATTTTAAAGAAAAATAAATCCTTGATACATTATGGCCTGGCATGACATTTTGCCAATTATCTTTTTTGGATGTGTTACCTCCAATGTAATCTTTTCAGCTTGGATCTTTTCCTTCTCGGCTTGGATCATGTGGATATACTTACCTGATTATTTTTTATAATAATAGTTACAAAGATCCTGCTAAAGAAATACTAATACTTAATGTATTTTAAAAAAAATTACTTTATTCACAAAAGAGCCTGCCAAAGAAAACACTCAGAAACATACACTTATCTTGCATTTTGGAAGTGATGCAACCAATCATATGCCTACATACAAAATTCACTCCAGACTTGCCAACGAATTCACCATAAATTGTGTCTACAAGTTGGGAGTGTCTATGAATTCACTGTTTCTTGATCCCAACCTTACAAGTACTTTGAAAGTTGCACAAACAAAAATGTAAGAATATAGAATATAGCATATTAAGTTTGATGCAGAATTGCATTGGAAATCTATTAGGAAAACACTATGTGATAGTCCATAGCTCTGTGTGACAAGTCAGTATTAAAATCGTTAATAAGGAGCTGCACACAGATACGGTTACCACAGCTACCAGGGGTGATTTCAGACATGATTTACTGTTCAGTTGAATGGTACCAATGATTCACTGTACTAATTTTTTCTGGTTACAATTTCAGCTATTGGGAGGCTCTGTGAAAAATGTAAGTATAACCATGATAATTGTAATAAAATTTCAAATAATATTTCATGCTATCACCATGATCACCAAGTTTAATTGTTACCATTGCCTATATTCATTAAGAATAGATAAACATGATACACACTCTGTATTATATATAATACATGACTCATAAGTATGATATATACATGTACTGATTTTAACACTGTTGATAGGTTACTTTCTTAGCTCAGTATATGAATGTGTAAAACTGTCAAATCATGAAAAGAACACTACATCAGTAATTTCGGAGTTCAGTTTAAACATGATAAACATGTGTTGCAATTAGAATGATTAAGCCCAATTATGTATTAATAAATGTATGGCAAAATCAATTTGTGTTAGGTCTGATGTGAAATTTAATCCTAGTATCTCTTGAGAATGTTTAAAATAAAGGTGGTCCTTGAGGTTTGCTCCTATGGTATTTAATCCCCCTCCCTTCCCAACCCCGAACTCCTTTAACTAGTAGTGTTACGATTACGACAAGGTGATAGGATGTAATGGTCTTTAAAATAAGGTTGACCATCAATGGTTACAAGATAACCTATGAACAGTGACTGCCTCATGGCCTGCCTCAGAGGGAGGTCGGTGGTTTGATTCCTGGTCGTGTTAGCCTTCTTGTAGCTGGGCTTTTAGGGGATACAACAAGGAGTGTTCAGGTCAGAGTCAGTATACTGTGTCTGAGTGGGGTATACACATAAATATGCATCAAAGTATCTCAGCAGACTAGTAAAACCTTCAAACCGGTATGTCCTGTCAAGTACAAGCAGCCACATGTGCATGCATGTCACTATATATTATAACCCCACTTCAAGCAGCCACATGTGAATGCATGTCACTATATAACCCCACTTCACCTCACCTCACTAATGCAACAAGGACTTGGGGATAAGCCATGTCATTTTAAGTGTAGATTCTAACACTTTTCAAGCCAAGTATTGGGGTTATGATTGATGGATGGTTAATGGTCCTTGTTCATCACATCAAAGAAGTTGAAATTACTAATGTTGTAATTGTTTTCATTTGCAGGTGATGGAAAGTGTGTTATCTGTGACTCTTACGTGCGTCCGTGTACCTTGGTCCGGATCTGTGACGAGTGTAACTACGGGTCCTACCAGGGTCGGTGTGTGATCTGTGGAGGGCCTGGTGTGTCGGATGCCTACTACTGCAAGGAATGCACCATCATGGAGAAGGATGTGAGTAGGTCTATGTACTTGGCAGCAGGTAGACACGGCACTGGTCGGAGACAAGTGAAAATCTTGCTGGCTCATACTCCCAAAAGTGTAGATATTTTACATAAACGACTAGTCTAAAAAGTTGTTGGCTATGAGCAATAGTGTCTACCCTTGTACATGGGGGGACGATACAATCCAAGTTGGTGATTTATCAGGCCTGTATCATTATTGTGATATGTGCTATTGTAATATAATTCTTGCATTAATACATCTGACTGATATATTTGAAACAACATCCAGACCTTTTTCATAAGAGTTAGATTTATCAAGGCATATTTTAATTAATTCATGTGCTTGGATATGAGCAATATATCAGTCAGTTTATGTTGGAAATCCTACTTGCTATTGGCATGATACATGTTTTCTGTCATTTCTTCAAAGGATTTATCAGTATGATCAGTACAATGGTTAATTACACATATATATATATACATGTTGTTGTTTTTTCATTTCCCCTAAATGTGCCTGTATCCCTGGTTGTTATATAGGTGATGTGTTAAATGCAGGTTGATTGCCCTTCTGTTTTGTGATCTTTAACATTCAGTGTTATATATGAGTGAGTGAGTGAGTTGGTTTTAAACAGTATTCCAGTTATATCACGGTGTGTCAGCTTAATGTGGGAGGAAAGCCCGAAACGATGCAGGTCTCAGACATTTACCACTTTTGTGAAACCCACGAGCACGGGTATTGTGCTGACAAACCTTGAAACATAATCGGGGCAAACCGGGATTCTAACACGCGATCATAGGTTTCTGGCGTGCCCAAGGGATGCAACTCTGCACAGCCAATCGCAGCGCCTTAGATGACAGGGCCACCCATGCCCCCCAATGTTATATATTTTTAATTTCATGTATGTCATGTGTATTAATCATAACACATTTCCATGTTTTAGAGAGACGGGTGTCCTAAAATTGTGAATTTGGGAAGTGCCAAGACAGACTTGTTTTATGAGAGAAAGAAATATGGCTTCAAGAAAAGGTGATCTGTGTGTTTTTGTGACTTGCCTTATCATTGAAACAAAGACATTTAATTGTTACCATGGGAACACATCTTCAGCAACCATAAGCCATCCTGTTTATCTGTCATAAGAACGACATCTGTGGACAACACTCTCATTCCAGGACATTCAACATCATTTGACTCCGAAGGACAAACTGTTTATCAGATGTCACATACCTGATTTTATGGGAAACATGTTAATAAAGCTTTTTAGATAGAAATGCCTTGCTTCTTTTTCTCTCTAAGTTGAAATATTATTGTTTGTGCATCTGAAAAAATCATGATAATAAATGGGTTAGACAGTATTAACTTATTGAGAAACTAAGAACATGAGATGAATCTTAAAGTGTGCTCAATACACATCCTGATAGTTTTCCCTCTTATTAGAATAGTTGATTGTGAGGACAAATGTATTTGGAACATGTGTAGGGCTTTTAATTTTAAGAATGTGCATAATGATTGGTTTATTCAGCTGCATCAACCTCATGTCATCCTCTATACCCCCATGGCTCGCTGTTGGTAAACCTACACTAACCCCTGCATCCATTCCTGTGTTTCTCGCAATCTCAGATTATCTGCCCTTGATTTAGCTAATGGACGAATCAGAAAGCGAGCTACAACCCAGCCTCAATGTTGGGTTGACAATATCAACAATGTGAAGGCCAGGCCTATTCATTACGATAGAGTTTGCAAAATTCAACTTTGCAAAACTCACAAAAGAAAACCCTAAAAAATCTTGTTGATGGAAAGGATGTCTTATTGTCCATCAAAACTGGCGATGAAAAGTCCTCTCTTACCCATTTCCTGATTTCAACGTTTCATTTGTTGGTAATATAATAATGAAGATCAAGGCAAGGGCCGGTTATTATGGGTTGCGAGAACAAGGGGAATGAACCAGTGGTTAGTGTTGGTTTACCAAATGCGAGATATGGAGGATGACCTCATGTATCCTGGAAAATAGTTCTTACAAGTACTTGTTATCTCCAAGTCAATTTGATTTTATTGGCTGAATCTTAAGCTGAATTGACACACCATCAACCAGGCTGACCACCCGATCCATTCCACAAGCACAGGCTGCTGGGAACCTATGATAACCCAGAATACTCTCATCACAACAACATAACATGGACAGTTTAGGCACCCAGGTAGCACACCTTTCCACACTGAAAACAATACCACCAACATATTTAGTCAGTGAACCAGGGGTTTTCAGCCCAATAGTATACTCAATTCCAAAAGGACATCAACACCTTGGACTTACTGCTGACAGTCAATGCACTGTTTGCAGACACAGGTCTGTGGGGAGTTCCAGCTGTCTGCAATATGTGGCAGAGAACAGATGATAACCTGTGTTGACATGACAAATGTACACATGGAAGTCCGCTTCTGGGGCAATCCTTAGACTAACATCTAGTCTCTGAAATGAACATATCGTACATAAAATAACAGTTCAGTTATCTTAATAAAAATATAATAAAAAGGAGCCCAGTGACTCTCTTCATTTTCAGATACTGCAGTGATCTAGACTTGCCAAACATTATAGACTTGCATGGGCTGTATTTGATATATATTTGTATCAGGGTCTGTAAGACAGACTAGGGCAATCCTGTGCACTGTTTGTCTGTGCATTCCATGCCTTGTCTGTTTGTTTGTTATTTCATATGACGGTAAATATGTGTGTAAATAATCAAATCTGGACCAGAAAATCTAGGAGTTGGCATTATGAGCATCGATCTACATAATTGGGATACGATAACATGCATGAACCAAGTCAGCGACCACCCAAATCTCGAATCTCAGTTCGCCCCAATTTATTGTTCTAGGATTGTCAGCACCGTGCTCGTGGGTTTCACCGAAGTGGTAAACATCTGAGACCTGCATCACTTCGGGCTTTCCTCCCACATTAAGCTGACATGCCGTGATATAATTGGAATAATGTAAATTTTATGTTAAAATCGGCGTTTAACCCAACTCACCATTGAACGCGACGTTAAACCCCATTTCACCTCGCCTCAACAACCAACAGTTGATGTTTCACATTAAGAGCATGCATAGTGTCCACAGCACATGCTCGGGACTTGTTTTTGACAATATGCACACCCTTCTAGACATGTTATTCTATCACTGTGCATCTTGTTTTGTGCAAATACATCACTTTCAATGGATGTCTGTGTGCTGGGATTGGGTTTAATGCTGCTTTTAACAGTATTCCAGTTATATCGCGGCGTGTCAGCTTAATGTTGGAAAAGCCCAGGTGATGCAGGCCTCAGACGTTTACCACTTCGGTGAAACCCATGAGCACGGGTATGGTGCTGACAGTGTGATGGGAACTTGCAACATGAGACCTGCATTTCTTTTGGAACTGCAGTAGGTGTAGTCTAGTGAAGGTGGTGTGCAAAGGTGTGAGACTTGGCACTGTAGGTGTAGTCTACTGAAGGTGGTGTGCAAAGGTGTGAGTCTTGGCACTGTAGGTGTAGTCTACTGAAGGTGCTGTGCAAAGGTGTGATTCTTGGCACTGTAGGTGTAACATTCGCTGGAAACAGCAGTCATGATAATAAAGGGGTGACAATGAGGTGGTTGTTCATTAGCTCAGTGCTTGACATCCAAATAGCATAATGTTGAAGTTCATGTCACAGAGTTCCAAAACTGGTTTTGGTATAGGTTGATATATTTCTTCTCAAAAACTCTAAAACTATTTTGATCATAAAAATTTATCCAAATGTAGACTGCATGTTGTGTGAATCGGACATTTCTATTCTGGTAAGACATATACTCAGGATGTTCATTAACAATTTTATGTCCCATTTTTTTGGCAACAATGGATTCAATTTGCTATTGTGGGATGGGGGAAATGTCAGAATCCTGGATAGACTTGACCTCAAGGAACCAATAAAAACACAACACAAATGAATCATGTACAAAATTATCATTTATTATAAAGATAAAATTACTAAAAGGCACATTTTATTTGTAAAACACTGTATATGCCATTACATATATAAAACTATATGACATACAGTACAGCCTCAGATACTGCCATACATGATGTATGATACATCACTTAACAAATAATGTTTATACCATGCAGGTAAACTCCCTAGTGCTTGGAATGCAATAACTAAAGTAGACTATATGAACAGAATGAACATATTTTAGTCTTATGACAGGCAAGAGAGGGACCATATATATGTATCTTAACTGTTATCATAGCCTCAAATCAGACTGTGATGTGTGGAAACCACTTTTCCAAAGTGTTGGCCTAATACGAACAGTGGTGAAAATCATTTCTGGTAATCGTATTCACTTGAACTAATAAAACCTTATAATGGTAAATTATTCACAAGAATTAAATGGTCACCTAACCTAAAGGCATATGGATAAAGAATGTTCATGTTTGATTAAATGATATGATCAAAAGGGTATATCAAATGTACAAATATACAGGGACCGCTATATACAACAGGTCAATGACAGGGAGGGCATGAGCAATCATGATAATGGCCGACTATAGACAGGATAGTTCTTGTCTGATTAGACCTTAACTGATTCTTATTTTTCTCAATTGTTAACATGTTAAAATCCCAGAAATGATCATGAATCTTGGTGAATTAATGGCTCTGGTTTGTTGTATAGTAGGACATGACTCTTTCTCACAAGTGGTAATTACAGAGTACGGTAAAACATGAAGAACTTTCTAGCTATAAAGTGTACTACACGGAAGTAGAACCCCTCTCACAGTAATATGGTTATAACATAAAATGGGACAAAAACATTTTATATGATCGAAAATAATGAAAATACTTATGTCACATTATTTGGTTTCATGTGATCTGATAAGATATGACTTTGATACTTTCATCAATATTTCAACAATTATTAAATTATAAAATTTTAAGTGAAATCTGCCGGAAAACAAATTTCTCAGTTGACATGCATTTACACACCATGATCACTTTATTTGGTCAGTGATTGTGTAGACATCTGTTTCTTTCAATCTTCCATATCACCTTATTCATCTTGTGTTTTTCAGACTTTGTTTTCACAAGACTTGCATAGATCTACTGATTCCCCAAGGAAAGATCCAAAATGTTTTAGCTTCATAACTTTGGTAGCACATACTGAAAAAATGTCACAAATATCCCCACAATGACTGGTGTCAATGTTGTCAAAGTTGCACCGCTGTTGCAGCCATCCTGGTTGTCACAGTGACAGTAGCGCATCTTCACGCGGTACGTCCCGAGACGCTCCTGACACACCCGTCCTTCGTACATCCCGATCTCCCCAGCACTAGCACACTGTCGGACGTAGCGGATCTCCCACGCTCCATCAAAATACACTGTAATGAAGCAACATAAAGATTGAGTCAGAATTATTGGGTATGTTTGACTCATTTTATTAGGCTCTGTAACATTTCATGAATGATTTTGAAGTCAATTCTTATAAATAAGTCAACAATAATAACTTCACAGACTTCTTTTTAATCATTAAGATAAAACAACTGTAGATGTGATATGATCAGCGCAGCAATGCAACACAAGTCCCACCCACTCTTTTATCAGGAGGGTGTACGGGTGGCCCAGTCGTCGCGATTTGCTGTGCAGAATTGCGTCCCTTGGGCACGCCAGAAACCTATGACTGTGGGTTCGAATCCCGGTTCGCCCCGATTATGTTTCTAGGTTTGTCAGCACCATACCCGTGCTCGTAGGTTTCACCGAAGTGGTAAACGTCTGAGACCTGCATCACTTCGGGCTTTCCTCCCACATTAAGCTGACACGCCGCGATATAACTGGAATACTGTTAAAAGCTGTGGTAAACCCAACTCACTCACTCACTCACTCTTTTATCAGGATAGTAGTCTGTTAGTGGGTATGGCCAAGTGTTTTTTTAAACAAATGCAAAGAAATTTGTTTGGTAAGCCAATCACATGCAAATTGAATCACTTGCATATTAGTAAAATAATCAAATAAGAATTTGTTTGTAGTGTTATACATGCTAACAAAATGTCTTGCCCTCAAGGAAGTAAGAATAATGCAGAATCTAAAAGACAGCTGATATATGAAAGAATGAAATGGCTAAATGCCAATATTGCTTAATTTTTGTTAGGGTCATTGCGGTATAACATTTGTTTATATCAGTTTTTTGACTGGTAAATTCAGTAGCATGTGAACTTTTATCACAGGTAGTTTATCAAATTAAAAATTGACCTCCCATAAGTGCCCTCTACAAGCAACAAGACCAAACTCTCATTTCACAGTGTTTGGAAACATTCTTCAAAGCATAGTCATTTGAATTGTGAGCGAGTATGGTATTACGCCGCTTTTAGCAATATTCCATCAATATCATGGCGGAGGACACCAGAAATGGGGTTTACATCTTGTACCCATGTCGGGAATCGAACCTCGGTCTTTGGTGTGACGAGTGAACGCTTTAACCACTAAGCAACCTGACTGCCCTAGTTATGTGAAATCAGTCAAGCGAGTGTATTTTATTAGCCTTACCTTCTTGCACAACCTTTCGACAAAGGTTTTCATTATCTTGGCACTGCGTCAGATGTTGTGTGACGTTGTCGAACCAGTCGGCACAGTCATGCTGATGGTAGGAGTTGCACTGGAAACACTTGATGGCGGAACCTGCAAACACAAGAGTTCATTACTACAGTCATGCATGATAACGTCATCAGAACAGGCCTAAGGACACCAGTGTTTCAAACTGATAGTGTGTGAAATCGTTCATTTCCATCCAGGTGAAACAACACACAATCAGCCTGACTTTTGTTGAGATTTGGCTTATTTAGGCTATCAATACGCAATGTGCTGTATTTCCTCAAACAGATGCCAGACCTCTAACCGCTACTAGGTCTCTAATAGACAATAGGCTTCAACACTTACAGACACTGGGCCTTCAAGGGACACTTGGCCTTCAACAGGCACTTTGCTTTTAACAGACACTAGGCCTTCTACAGTCACGAGGCCTCCAACACAGTGGGCCTTCAACAGACACAGGTCCTTCAAAAGACACTTGGCCTTCTACATACACTAATCCTTCAAGAAATACTAGGCCTTCAACAGACACTTTGCTTTCAACGGACACAAGGCCTTCTACAGACACTAGGCCTCCAACACACTGGGCCTTCGATAGACAACTTGGCCTTCGACAGACACTGGGCCTTCTACAGACACTAGGCCTTCGACAGACACTTGGCCTTCGACAGACACAGGGCCTTCGACAGACACTGGGCCTTCGACAGACACTAGGCCTACGACAGATACTGGGCCTTCGACAGATGCCTTCGACAGACACTGGGCCTTCGACAAACACTTGGCCTACGACAGACACTGGGCCTTCGACAGACACAGATGGTGCTTTACTAGTCCGGACTAGTGTCTGTTTTATAGTACTAGCCCATTGAGATACCATTTGGAAGTTTAACATGGCTACCCTACTCAGATACAGTATACTGACTCTGAGCTGACCAGTCCTTGTTTTAGCCCCTTAATGCGGAGTGTCTGTCACTGGTACAAGTTCTATCTTTTAGCTTCTGTTGGTATAATGTTCCTGGGAATCAAACCCCCAACTTTCCGGTCTCAGGACAGTTACTTCTTGGAGTCTTGAAGGCATGTCCGTGCTTAAATAATGCACTGTGTATTTCATACTTAAAATACAAATAACGTTCAGGAAAGATTATTTGAAAACATAAGTGTGTGTGCACGCACACACACACAGACACACACACACACACACAATGTGTTTTTAAAATACTAGTAACAAGTGTATTTGAAAGTTTATAAGATTTAAACATTAAACGATTCGTATTTAATGCATTTTCGATTTACTCCGCAGATCAGTTGCCTACATCACTATTTATTATTATCTGACGTTTCTGGTTTATACACATCTTCCATGAAACTATTCAAACCCCGAAACATGGCGGTCTGCGCTATCTTATGGGCACTTCCGTGTGTGTACTACCTGATAGCAAATGGGACGACTGAAGATTTGGAGATCAATTTAAAAAGCCGCCTGCATCTGGCGGTGATTAGTAGTTATCCAAAACTTACCTGTATCCAAAATCACAAATACTGCCACAATAAAGGCGAAAGTGGCAAGAATCGCCTTCATCGTTGAAGTCAACTCGTACCGTATCTGCGGAACTACCTTAGCCGCTTGATAACTAGGTCGCCTCTTGCACAGGTGTGACAAGCGTCCTCAGGGGCCCTCGCTGGGTTGGGACATTCTTGTCAGCAGATTTTAGCTTCTTGATATTCAAATATCAATATTCAATAATTCGCTGAAATTCAATATTCGCTGGTTATAGGATAATGGTGGGTACACGCAGCTGCTAGGGTAGTAAAGATGCACTCACGATAGGACATCAGTCTTATGCGAAGATGTTTTGTAAAATGACAGAAGGCCCGTCTGTTTCACCACAGCATCATACGTAACTAATAATAATAATAATAATAATAATAATAAACAAACATGCAGGCGAGGCCTAGGGTTTTGCGAGTTTGTTTGTTATTATCATTAGTTATACCATTTATACATGGTCCTGTGGTTTCTCTCTCTAGCAAAGTCTTAATTAACGTTGCATTTACCACCAATGTTTCTGTGTGACATTAACGCCAAGTGCATCATGTTTCTGTGTGACATTAACGCCAAGTCCATCATGTTTCTGTGTGACATTAACGCCAAGTCCATCATGTTTCTGTGTGACATTAACGCCAAGTCCATCATGTTTCTGTGTGACACTAACGCCAAGTCCATCATGTTTCTGTGTGACATTAACGCCAAGTCCATCATGTTTCTGTGTGACACTAACGCCAAGTCCATCATGTTTCTGTGTGACATTAACGCCAAGTCCATCATGTTTCTGTGTGACACTAACGCCAAGTCCATCATGTTTCTGTGTGACATTAACGCCAAGTCCATCATGTTTCTGTGTGACATTAACGCTATGTCCGCCATGTTTCTGTGTGACACTAACGCAAAGTCCATCATATGTTTTTGAATGAGCCACCATCAATATTATGTATGACATCACCACCAAGTTCGTCATGCTTGTGTGACATCACCACCAAGTTCGTCATGCTTGTGTGAAATCACCACCAAGTTCGTCATGCCTGTGTGACATCACCACCAAGTTCGTCATGCTTGTGTGACATCACCAAGTCCGAACTACAGGCATAGATGCTGACCTCTACAAACGCACACAGTAACAAGATCAGTTACACGCTTGCTAATGTCTACACACGTCACAGGGCTCCTTATAAAAAAACAAAATGTATCAGCGTATTTTTACAATGTTTATTTATATTATTGAAATGTGACATATTTCATTACACCTAACTACAACATCTTCATATAAGTTAGAAATAAATTGTCCTATGAAAATATTCGCTTCGCTCTGATGAATAAAAACACCCTTTGTATGCCACTTACGCACTCGATCATGTATCGTTTAATAGGAGTGTTTTTACAAAAATAGATAAAAAATATAAATTATATCTTGTTTGTCTTACATCAGTTATTTCAAATGCTTTAAAATAACATCAGCATGTTATCTTTGCTATCCTCACAACCACCACAAGTCGTTATACCTGTATCCCAAACAGGGCCCCAAATGACGCATGCGCGTTTTACATATGACTAATAAACATTCCAGGACCCAAACTATTTTTCGTTTGAAAAATAGGAATTATACATCATATATAACAAGTATCCATTTAAAAAAGCTAAAAATCGAATACATTTCGTTACACGAGGTGATATAATTTTTGACACACCTGACTTACCTGAATGCAATTTACAGGTGAGAGGAGAAGAGAAGCGCCACCTTCGTTGACACACAAAATAGTCATCCGCCATGATGGCGACAGATCGAGTGATTGGAGTGCTCCTATTTTTCGCCTCTGTACTGGCGATCGGTAAGTATTATAATAATTTTGAACATTGTTTCAGTTAATAAATTAAAAGAGAAATCGACCGATGTGTTTTAGGAGGCTAAGTGATCAATGCAATCTAGATACGACGGGGCAGTTGTGTCCGGAAGTGTTCTCAACGAAAATGCGTTATGTACAATTTACAAACAACATCAGCTTTTTCTCAATCTGGTTAAAAGGGGCACATTCGATCATTGTGGGGATGAAATGCTCTTGATGTACCAGGTCTTGTGTCTCGTGCCGTTGCCATGCTTACAAGAGCCAAAATCGATTTAGGAGACAAAAATCTCGACTAAGACATTTCAGGATTTCAAATAGACACACTTCATACATACAACGTGAGACGCAGACCGGGCGCCTCTACCCTCCAAAATACAGGTGATGTTTGTGTATTTTCGTATGATTTGGTAGCAGTGGCTGCCTAAAGTGAAAGATGCGTTCCCACCGTATCGTAATTTGAAATAATCAAAGTACCGAGATACAATTGACTTGTGCAGCTTTATATTAATATGTGTACCTATGCTTCTCTAGCGTGGTTTCGTCTGTAGCCTAGGGTCAGTGTAATGAGGCTGCTGCGGCGGATTATTAATTTCGGTGTTTATTGTTTATGTATAATGATACCGAAGTGTCATGAGATTATTTTAGTGTATTTTGTAAACATGTCAGTCAAACACTGTAACCCAAATGCCTGCTACTTTGAGCTTTGTAAATAACTTTGTACCGAGATAGAGTTATAAACAGTAAGTATGCATGTTTGTCAGTCTATATTGTTATAAATTTGTAGTTGAAAAGTATCATTTAGGTACGTTTTTTGTAGGAGTCAATCAGGAATATATATATTTATATGTCAATTTTTTTGTGTTGATTAATCCGTGATCCTTTTAAATGAAGCAGCATATTCAAGTGCAGGGAGGGCGTTTTACACCTGGCACAGGTGATTTAGGAGGGCTCAGGTGCATTCTGTCAATTGTCAGTATGCAGTAATAATTTTATATGAATTTAGTAAAATTTACACATTTTAAAATCTTAATTCGACAGTATATGAACACAGTACATGTATATTATTTATTCTGCTTTCGCGTTTCATCGAATGTGTTTTATCAAACAGTTTGCACTTACCAGTCCGACCCAATGTTATCAATAAGCTTGTAGTGTCAAACGTTGGGACAAGACCGACTTTGGCCCATGTTTACTTTCTTCAGCTGGTTGTGTTTGAATTTTTTCAATTTTTCAATGACCAGGTAATTTGCATTTGATACGAGCAGTATTCAGTCGCCGTTTTACGCTGAACTAGAACGATGAAAGTTGGACTAATCTTACGATTGCTATATTATAGGGAGCGAAAGTGAAAAAAGCTCATTTTATTTCACTCTTTGTTTGATAGGCATTACTTAGAAGTTGACGGATGACAAGATAGACACAATATTTTTATGGATAACAACTTCTTTAATACTGTGAAAAGCGACGTTTCGGTATAGATCCTTATACCATTGTCAAGCAAGACTGAATGAGGGACATAGTGCAGAATATATATAGTAGGTGGAGGATTAACAGTAGAGGATTAACAGTAACAACAAAAGCATACATGAGTGGGATAACATAGGTAGGTGTGACAACAAAGGGATGATGCTGTCACTCCATTGCATATGTAATTGAAAATTAACAATAATTAATGGTTATATTGACTTTGGTCTTTCAAAGTAGACCAGGTAGCTTGATTGGGGGAAATATTTCCGATTGATTCATGAACACTTCGAAATTTCTTTTCATTTTCAAACTGTCCAACTGTTGCACATTAGTTCAAATACTGATGGGATATGGGCATGTTCTGAGTATATAGAACACAGACATTGATTGGCAAAAACTTTAATGATATAAGATTAATCATAATTTAGAAAAAATATAAAAAGCTTAAAACTCACTAGTTCCAGTTTCAGATAGCTTAACAATACACTTGAAATCTTAAAAAAACCGGTTGCTGGTATTATGCCCTTCAACAAATTAAGATATGAAAAATACAAATTATGATCACATTGCGAATATTGACATGTCGACGTAAATACTGACAGTGAAATACGAGGTCACCGCTTGACACACCGTGATATAACTTACATACTGTTCTACCCTAAACAAAACCCACTCACTCACTGACAACTTTACCCACACAGGTAACTGCATCCAGTGCTACCAGTGTGACAGCAATGAGGACATTTCCTGCCCCGGCGACCGCCGCTTCGACACCAGCGTCAACGCCATGGTGGACTGCAACAGCTTCGAGGCGTACGTGCCCGGACAATTCTGCATGAAGATTTATCAGGAAAGCCCCGGATGTACGTGCAACTAGTCCGTGTCATTACCCCAATGAAGTTACCAATACCTGAATGTATTTAATAGAGTGATGATACATATGTTGGTAATGACGGATAATATGAATTGTCACTGAAATAGACTAAATGTCACTTGGCAGTCTTTTACAAAGCTACGACTAATGATGGTTTAGATGTGTAGGCGTTGCAACATAGTACTACTATCGCTTTATTCCCTTCACCCCATGTTCCTTGTGGTTTTTCTAACTTTAGACGGGGACAAACGTGGACATCCTATTTATATTATAATGCATTGGCATTATTAAGATACCGTGTTATCATCATTAAGATGTATTATTGTTATCACGATTATTTTCCTGAAGATGTATTATAATGAAGCTATTTTTAGGATGAAGTCTTTGAAAGGCATTTATAAGAAATACACATAAGGAAGAGAGTTTATGGATGTCAACTTCTTTATTATGAGGAACACAACGTTTCGGAGTGTAGGCTTATTCCTTCATCAGTTTGAGATGATCTAAAATTCCATATATTATAAATTCTACTTCTTATTTCAGATGGAGGTTGGAAGAAAATCACAAGACGCTGTGGTTCCAGAACAGATTTTGGTATGTACTTCCTGGTATGAGAAAAGGTACTCTCAAATACACACAAGTCAAAGAAAACTGTTTACTCCCTTTCTTATTTTGTTTGTATACATATATAGGTCCATACTATTTAATCATTTACTTAATCCTTGCATTACTTCATCCATGTGGTAATTAAAGTTGGAATTTAATAGCCTCGATTTACTCCAGACCACCGTCATATAGTTGGATTATGTTGAGTGAGTGAGTATTGTTTTACGCCGCTTTTAGCAATATCACGGCGGGGGACACCAGTAATGGGCTTCACACATTGTACCCATGTCGGGAATCGAACCCGGGTCTTCGGCGTGACGAACGAACGCTTTAACCACTAGGCTACCCGACCGCCCCGGGTTATGTTGAGTGTGGCCTTAAACAACAAACAAAGAAATATTTTCATTTCATCTAAAGCGTTCGCTCGTCACGCCGAACACCCGGGTTCGATTCCCGACATGGGTGCAATGTGTTAAGCCCATTTCTGGTGTCCCCCTCCGTGATATTGCTGGAATATTGCTAAAAGCAGCGTAAAACCTTACTCATTCATCTAACATTGGTGGTAAGGGAGTTACATGACTGTAAACTGGACTTTTATAGTCAGTTATCTCCCTTGCCGCGGGAAGATGGCAGTTCCTCAGAGTAGAGTACATCTTCTGTATAATGTTGGATGGCTGATACTGAACTGTTTCTTCTCACCAGGTGTCGCCTGGGGCTGCCGATGGAGCTGGGACTACACGGGAGTGTTCAGGGAAACATGTTACTGTGAAGACAAAGATGGCTGCAACGGTTCCTCACGTGTCCATACTAGCCTCGTTCTGGCTGTCATCTGCTTTCTTGCCGTCAAACTTAAACTGTTATTCATCTAGCGCTACATTGATCTGAACCCGTACGACAAACACAGTTCATAGGTGCAACATTTCACTTTTCGCCTCATCAGAATCATTCTTAAATCGAGATATAATCAATCTTAAATCCAGCTATGCAATAGAGAACTGCAAACACTACAATTTGGAAATAATTATGTCTTTTCTCAAATAATGAACAAATGAGTAACGGTACACGATTAGCTGTTTCACAATTTCTTATTGAGAATGAAAGTAAGTGGGGAAGAATCGGAACAAGGTGAAATGTTCGTTATTTCGGTAATTTGTGTATCCCGTAAGACAGTCATAATATAGACTACCTCTGTCGCATCTGTTAGGCAAATTAACAAATGATTCTGTCCATCAGTTAAAAACGAGCTTTGTGTACATACGAACTGTACATATGCACTTTTATACGTAACTTTGTATATATTTTTAGCTTTTGAACCCTATGTTATGTGTTATTGTTGGCAATAACACCACCATGATCAGACATATCATCTGTATAATAATTTTTATACTGTTCTATTTCATATTGTATAAATATTAGTTAAAACGTCGCCTATATTTAAGACGTTTTATACCCCTTTGTGTAGAACCCAGAATCGTCATGATTATAACCAAGGCCTCATAATCTCGGATTAAACGTCTCTTGACTTAACGACTTGCATTGACGTTCAAGGATAGTCCTAATGTAAATTATGTAACGCATAGCTTTCCGTTCAGTCTAAGCAATATGTACTGATATGGTGAACTATATCGAGCTCTAACATGTTTCTACTGATTCGAACATTTGTTTGTACATCTCTAACAAAATGACACCAGTTGTAATAAGAGCCATAAGTAAATACCCGTGTTTTCAATCAGATTAATGTTTTGTAACAGATTTATTTGGATTGCTTTCTGATGCTTTGAGGACTAGTATACATGATTTGTAAATATTTTTACCAGAATAATAATACTTTTCTTTAAATAAACCATATATTTTTTGAAAATCAACTTCTTGTGATTGGTACCAACGTGGGAAATGTCTTGAGATGTAGGGCACAGCAGATTACTTGAAACAACTAAAAACGGTGACCGTGGTCAGGCTCGGTGAGTTGATTGATGCATGTCATCGTATCCTAATTGTGCAGATAGATGCTCGTGATGTCAATCACTGGATTGTCTGGTCCCCCGATTATTTAGAGACCGCCGTCGTATAGCTGGAATATTGCTGAGTACGGCGTTAACCTACCAACCAACAAACAAGAAACTTGAAAGTAAAGTTTTCCACTTGGGCACGCCCCTGTGGACATCCCGGTTCCAACCAGGCCCCAGTACCTCTTGCTTTTCTCATGGGCCGACAAACTGAGGATCGGGTAGACACAAGTAACGTGTCGCAAGTAATGTGTCGCAAGTAATGTGTCGCAAGTAATGTGTCACAAGTAATGTCACAAGTAATGTCACAAGTAATGTGTCATGTGTCACAAGTAATGTGTTACAAGTAATGTGTCACAAGTAATGTGTCAAGTAATGTGTCACAAATAATGTGTCAAGTAATGTGTCACAAGTAATGTGTCACAAATAATGTGTCAAGTAATGTGTCACAAGTAACGTGTCACAAGTAATGTGTCACAAGTAACGTGTCACAAGTAATGTGTCGCCTTACTGAACGTGTGTCATCATTCCCCGACACGTGTTGTTTCTTCTGTTATCACCAACCGATGTCTTCATCAGATGTACACACGTTCCGTGGATTACTCACCAAATGGGGAAATATTTTCGCAGGCATAGCAGGTGCCACTGTCTGTCCACGCCACACAACTACTGACCCGTTAAGATAAGGGTAGAACAGGTCTTCAGCAACCCCTGCTTGTCGTAAGAGGCGACAGACGGGATCGGGTGGTCAGGCTCGCTGACTTGGTTAATGCACGTCATCATATCCAATTACCTAGATTGTCCAGACTCGACTATTTACAGATCGCCGTCTCATAGCTTGAATATTGGCGTGGGTGGCGTTAAACAACAAAGAAAACAAACAAACACAAAACTACTGGTTAATTATATTTTTGGACAAGAAAAGCGCCAATAGGTAGATGTTGTGCGCTCATTTATGAAATGTGTTACATATTAACCGTTGCAGAGATCGATTAAATGATGCAAATATGTATGGTAGCAATAGTTGATAGTATATCAATTACACGGATGACCTTAATGTATCCCATTACCTGGAGTTCTGTGATTAATCTTGGCATAAAAACATTTGGTCTCAGTCTTTTGGATAATAGGACATTTTGCATAGTCGCAGATTTGCATCGTGATGACCATTTGTTTATTAATAATACCCAAATGCATCACTTAACTGTCACGTTCTTGTTAAAGATATATCTTACTGTTTGTGTTATATTGCAGTTAGGATCAGACACGATGTCACCCGATGCACTTATTTAGACGAAAACATATAGAGAGCATTCGGCTATGCATTCATTACGCGCACACGCACGCGCGCACGCGCACGCGCACACGCACGCACGCAATCACACACAAACACGCACACAAATATGTGATCAACACTGTAGTGTTTGAAGTGGGTGTAAAATCTCTTGATACCACGCCATTGTGACTCGCTTCTCTTGAGATTGACGAAACGGATAATACTGTTAATACCCAACGCACAATGCCCCTTCAACTTGTGAAAATTAACAGTATATTAGACATATACGTAGTAAATGTTGGTTTTAGAAATATAATTTTACATAGATATTTTTTTTTATTTTTTAAATTTTTGTTGTAAAATAAGACATCTCTTTCTAAACACTAAGCTGTTGAAGAAGATTAACTATCAGCTGTGCGAGGTGGATATTCGTTCATGTGAACAAGGTTGACTGATTTTGTAGTACCAAAATTAAATACTTTACTGCCATTGAAGACGGAGGACGAGAGTCATCGAATCGGCGGTAAAAGATCTGATTGTAATGCGATAGAAAGATACGCATTGGTCCGATGCAAATACACTTCTCCTGGGGTCTTCCAACAGAAACATAATCCTTTGATGACATTGTGAATTTAGAAAATGCTATTTTTCATTTATGGCAAAGTCATTTTACTAGAATGTATGTGGAGATTCTTACTTAAAAACCAACCATATTTCCTAAACCAATCATATCACGTATCACCTGTTAATTATCGAACCAGAGGCTGACTGCAATGAACCAAGAAAATACACATTGTACAGCCAACCAATTCTAAACTGGGCGACAAAAGAAAGTATAGGTCGAGTTCCATGGTCGATAAAAAAAAAACCAAGAAGAGGTTTTGTTGTGAATTATAATAGAATCTAGGGAGGGGTAACAAATGATTGATCAACCACAGTTTGAATGAAATTGTGCAATCACAGGTAATGTAAGCTCAAGGTAAACAATGGTGGGGTAAGAAATTTCATTTTCAAAAGTTGTCTGAAATGTCACCAAAAAATTGTCAGACACACTACAAGTTCATTGTCGACACAGTTGTCTTCAGTAGCGTGTATGACCTCCAGCTGCCTCAATGCATGCTTTCCCACATCTCCGTAAAAGGAAAACGCACGTGTATGTTATTGTTCCCACATCTCCGTAAAAGGAAAACGCACGTGTATGTTATTGTTCCCACATTTCCGTAAAAGGAAAACGCACGTGTATGTTATTGTTCCCACATCTCCGTAAAGGAAAACGCACGTGTATGTTATTGTTCCCACATCTCCGTAAAAGGAAAACGCACGTGTATGTTATTGTTCCCACATCTCCGTAAAAGGAAAACGCACGTGTATGTTATTGTACCCACAAAATGATTAAAAAATCGTGCACTACCAGTCACCACGACAGTTTTATTCAATGTTTATATGCTATGACAATAGAAACAACGGAGTTGAATTGTTAGGTAAACATTTTTCAATTTTCCCCTTATATAAACCTTTAAAAAACCTTCGTCACTCACTCACGAACGAACGAACGATCAAATCCAATTTCCAAGAGTATAATCTTTAGCCCGGTAGTTTATACACTTTATTTGGCCATGTCAATACCTGCATCAGTTGTGATCGCCTTTAGATTTTCTTCTCTGAAAGTATCAGTCGTTTTGTTTCGACAATGTTGTTTTTTTAAGAGGTTTTTCTCTACAAGCACGGGTTGTTTATACAGTGTCGTCAGTGAGCATCTTGAGATTGTGTTTTGTGTGCCAACGCTTACTGGATTTTCATCTGTGGATCAATCAATGTCACGGTTTTATTGTGTCTCATAAGCCTTAGGGCTGGAAGTTACTTTTAAATTGTATGTTCATTTGTTGCATATATACAGCTTATTTAACGCGTAACACCTAAATAATCTGTTTCCGGCAAAAAACAGGTTCCGATACCCCTTAGAATTGGGAATAAACCTGTTTGGAGAGATCCCTAAATCCCCAACAACACGCGGGTGAATTTATGCCCCAAACAGTTGCTTCAATCCCATCCCAACTGGTGCATGACAAGTAGGCTTCAGTTCAGTTAATTCTCAGAGAAATCGCTACTGGTGGTACATGAGCATTTACTGATATAATAAGACAATAAAGGTCAGCGGTTTTTTCAAAGTTAATTACGTAGACATACAATATTTCTGGACCAATTTCTTATGTCGTGTCACCTTTTGGATGATACAGTTCTACAGAGTTTAAAAACATTCGGCCACAAGTAGTATTGTTTGGAATATACGGAATTCTTTGTTAGAGAATTGCTTGGAGAGTTCTCCATATACAATAATGTTGGCGTTAAATTTCTTATTCCGGCTGCACAATTTTCAAGAATTTTAAGTGTATTCTTTCTATTACTTCTAACTTTTCAAAACCCCACACATCTGACCACTATAAAGGATTGGGGCAACGATAATTTCAAAAGCAGTTAGAAGACAATCGAGTGGTAGGTTTACATTTTTAGCTCTTTTTAATAAGCAGTATATCGCTTTCGTTGCACTTTCAGTCAGAGCTTTTATTCCCATAACAAATCTTCTGTTTCTATGGACTTTTCTTCCTAGGTATGTATAGGTATCTACTATTCCTAGGGACCTTATATTTAAAAAATATATATATTTGGATGATTTAGCTTGTCAATCTCCAAAAAATAAAACCTTGGTTTTTTTATATTTTTACGTTTATTAGTTTCCACCTCAGACAATAATTTTGAAACATATCCAGTGAACTTTGCAGACCTTGAGGAGTTCCGCTGAAAAGTACAGTGTCATCTTCATCAAAGAAAAAACTAGCAAATGTATCCAAACCTGGGGTCATTCTCCGTTAAGCAGTCCACATATATTCCTTCGCATTTTGCCGATTAAAAAGGATTCCAGGTCATTAGGAAAACGTGAAAACAATAGGGGTGTTTCCTCTTGTCGTACACCTGACTCCCATGGGAAATAAACAGACAATGTAGCATTTGATTTTACTAATGATTATATATTCACACAGATATTTTTAACCAAATTAAAGAATCTTCCCTTTATGCCTGGTTGGAGCATTTTGGTCCCAAGACCATGTCTCCTGAGGGTGTCAAATATCTGTGTTAACATATGAATAACAAATGCATTATCTGTCGATGAAAGGTTGTTTCTCATGCCATCTTGCGCTGATGTAATAAGATTGTTTTCTTCTAAAAAAGAGTTTTAATCGGTCATATAGAATGCTTGTAAATAACTTGCCGAAGCAACTCAGCAATGTCGATCCGAATGTTGGTCAGGTGGGTCACCTTTATGTTTGTACAGTGGTTTAATTACTCCCGTTAACCATGATTCGGGGATCACACCAGAGGCAAGTACCAGATTAAAGAATTCTGTATATAAAGTTCTTTTGGCTGACGTTTTTGCTTTTCTATCGTCAGATTTACGCTATTATCTTTTTTCAAATTTAATTTTGGTCAAGTCTCTGTGATTAGTTATCCCCTAAAATATTACATTCTGCGAAATTGCTATGTTGACTTCCCTTTAAAGCGTTCGCTTGTGGCGACGAAGGC